CTCTTCCCACATGCTTCTCTTCTACAGAGATGTCCACCCAAGTCCTTTCTGGAAAGCTTGCAGGAACTGGCAAACTAGCCCCTGGAAGAGCTTTGTGTGTGCAGAACCCCTCCTTCCTACCCAGCACAAAGTTATAAGAAACCCATCAGAGGTGGTTCCAAGGGTTGGAGCAACCAATGACAACAGCCTGGATTGGAGATACAGTGACAACGTAGAGAGATGCAGACTTGAGCCAGGTTTTGGCCATGGTTGCAACAGGACTGGCTGCTCACTAGGTGTCCAGGAGAGGCCAGGCGGCCTTCTGCTATCACTGCCCATCCCAGTTGGTGTCAGTGAGCTCAGATTGTGACAGATTTCAAAACTAATGCTGGAAAGAGCCTGTCAGCCTCTTAGCATTCCCAGAGGATTCAACTGATGACCCTGCCAACAGAGGAACGCAATCACACCCCTCCAAAGTGCCTGAGTCCTGTGTCGGCCCGGCTCCTGACCCCTCTTGCCCATCAGTGCAGATCAAGGGAGAAAACACCGATGGTTAGAGTTAACTGGGTCCTTGTCACTCAGGTGGGAAGCCTGGATCGGATGCCCAGCTCCTGGCTGCGGCCCCAGCCTGGCCAGGTGGTTGCAGGCACTTGGGGCGGGAACCAGCAAATGGGAGTTCAATCGATCGGTCTATCTAGCTGTCTCTACCTCTCAAATGGATAAAAAATAATACTTAACTTTTAAACATGAAATCTTTTTTCTTAAGGTATTATAAACTAGGCAAGTCTGAAAAGGCAGACACAACTCCCACACAAGTGTGGCTTTTGTATGCTGGACAAGAACGTGGCGAGACCCAGTGCACGGTGCCATGACGCTCCTCAGCATGAGTTCACAGTGGGTTCTGGCTGTGCAGGGAGCAGTTACCGCCTCCAGAGTCGCTCAGCCCTGACCTCAGATGAAGACACCACACAAACGACAGGCTCAGACCCACCAGGACCACAGACAGTGAGATGATCTGCAGTGTTAAAATGATATTCAATACATTAAAAAGAAATTTAAGAATATTAAGAACCAGCCGATGCAGTAACCTAGAGGCTAAAGTCCTCACCTTGCATGCACCAGGATCCCATATGGGCGCCCGTTCTAATCCCGGCAGCCCTGCATCCCATCCAGCTCCCTGCTTGTGGCCTGGGAAAGTAGTCAAACACTGCCTAGAGCTTTGGGACCCTGCACCCGCGTGGCAGACCTGGAAGAGGCTCCAGGCTCCTGGATTCAGATCAGCTCAGCTCTGGATGTTGCAACCACTTGGGAGTGAATCAGTTGGCAGAATATCTTTCTTTCCTCTTCTTTGTATATCTGACTTCACAATAAAAAATAAATAAATCTTTAAAAAAAAGAATTTCGAAAACCAAGATTTTTCTAACTGACCAATAAAATCCTAAAGGGAATAAAAATGAAACTTCTAGAAATAAACATTTCAAACAACTGATGAGCTGGGAAATGCATCTGAAGGAGCTACGCAGCACAGAAGGCACAGACGGAGGCCGTGAAGGGTGGGGCAAAGCCAGGTGGACGTAGAGACGAGGCCCAAGGACAGTAATACCGAACATCGTGCAGGGGGGAAGAAAAGGAGGAAGCAGAGCCAAGATCGGAAGAAACAACGGTGGAAAGTTTCCCCAGATGTCAGATTTGGAAACTCCTTCAGATTCTGGAATCCCAACCCATCCCCAAAAGCAGGGAAAAGAACAAGAAACGTGCCTTACAAACCCACTGCAGCCCAGGCACAACACACACGCAATGACGGCCACGGTGGCAGCTGGAAAGAAAGGGCAGGGCCTTCGCACGAAGCAGGCGGTGGGCTGGAACTGCCGCCTCGGGAGCAGCCAGGAGGCAATGGAAAGCCGCTTCCCATGTGACAGCCTAGCAAAAGTGACTTCCAAGAATGTGAGTAAAATGCAGGAATATTCAGCAAAGCAAAATCTAGATGGGAGGGGGTTGTTCCTAAAGGGTATACAGAGTGGAAGGCGCATGACCCCAGGGAGAGGCAGGGGTAGTCCGGAGGAGTGGCACCAAGGAAAACCCACAGCTGCCACCTCAGCACGGCCACGGGGAGTGTCGGGAGCAGCAGTTAAGCCATCTGGGACACTGGCACCTGCGTCACAGTCCCTGGATGTAAGCCCCAGTCTGCTCTCTGATAACGCAGGCCTGAGTGGCCCCGGGGCATGGCTCATGTAGGGACATGCTGCCACCATTTGGGAGGTTGACCTTGGCTCCTCCTGGCTTCTGACCTGACCCAGTCCTGGAGGCAATGGGCATTTGGGGAAAGGCCACCAAATGGACATTCTTTCTCCTCTCTTTTTCTCACACTCTCTCTCCTTCTAAAATAAATACAATTTACAAAGCATAGCCATTGCTGCCCATACAAAATAAAACAAGTAAGAAAGTGCCTTGCAAAGCTAAGGAACTACCATGGGGCTGTGGCGCAGCGTGCAGGGCGCCCACGGCTGGCCAGGAAGACCTGGAGGACAAGTTAGAGTTCAGTAAGCACATGGACATGTCCAACCCGGAAAGGAACAGAACACAGATACTAAGTTCCAAAAGACAGCAGAGAAAAACGGATCTGGGTTGAGGCGGGGAGAAATCTTGATTAATTCAGAAGCGCAAGGCAGGAAGACAAATGAGAGGTGACTGCATCTAATCGTTACCACTGAAAGCAGACACCCCTAAAACATTCCTAGACAGAGCTTTCACCGAACAAAGTTTGTTTTCGTGTTTTCATGACATTGTAGTTTAGTAACATAATTTAATATTCGTGGGTTTGGGGACAAACACAAATAAAGCAATACTTGTACTACACAGCTCTAAGAGGCTTGTTTTCTAGGACGCTGCGGCAGCCCAATCCACGCGTGGACGGAGATGCACAATGCGCTGGCCACTTGCTGGGACACAGTTCCAAACCAGCACCTGCCTGTCCCCCACCGTTTGCTCGACCGCAAACACCCACAGGCCACTCTCGGCCAAGGCCAGCCTGCTGCTGTGTGCCACACGGGGAGGGGCGCCGCACGCCCACCTCCCAAGCACTACACCCCAAAGGCCAGACCTGAGGGCTCTGGTTGGGGTCAACTTCAACAACTGCACAGGAGAAATGGGTACACTTCTCTGTTCACAGAATTCATGGGTGGAGACTAGCAATCCGAGAAAAGCCCATTCAGCAAACGCTCTAGGCGGGCTGAGCAAAGGGAGCACCCCCACCACCACCACACAGCAAGGATCTCTCCTTTTGTCCTCACCATAGCTCAGCCTCAAGCCCCCCTCCACAGGGGTTCCTAGGAGCCCCCAGGCTGCCTGTCAGGTTCTGAAGGAGCAATGAACCTGGGGACAGGTGTCTGCTCCTGGATTGTCAACAGGCGTGGGGTGAGATAGGGAAAGGAGACCACATCCGGAGACAGAGATGCAAAGGCCTGGCCATAGCTGGGCTCCTGGTAGCCGGAGACGGGGAGCACCGTGGGTGAAAGGGGACACACCTGGATTCCAGCAGAGTGGCCTTCACCTGCACGCTGGCCTTCCAAGCCCCGCCCTCAGCTCACCGACCACTGGCCTGGGCAAAGCCAGGCCACAGTGAGAACAGGGCTTCTAGAAGGCATGGTGTCTCAGACTACAGCCTCCGCACCCCTAAAATCCTTGTCCAAGGCCCTTGACCTTCACCTGGTGCTGACAGTCACTACAGGCACAGGCAGCCCGAGCCCCACTCTGACCTAAGGTCCCAGGACCTCGGCGGCAGCCGCCTGGTGCTCGGACTCCTGCCTGAGGCTTGCTGCGGTGGCACCGAGCCCGTGAAACAGCTCCTGCACACTGACCTTGCAGCAAGCAAAGCCACCAGACCAGGGCTCCAAAGGTCAGGGAGAGAGCACGCATGCCCGCTGCCTTCACGCCATCGTCCCACGTCCTGGCCACCAGGGCACTGCCCTATCTCATGAGGCCACAGCAGGCCACTTGGACAGAGGCCCAGCTCAGTGCCAACGCAGAGCAATCCCGACTTCTGGAAACCGAGAGGACAAGGTCTCTCTCACGCAGATACCACCACACAGCAAGGAACACCACCCAGGCAAGGCACCCCCATCCTTCCAGGATCCCCATCCTGGCTGGCCAACTCCCCCGCAGGGCTCCTGCCCAGGCATCCAGCTGCTCGGCTCTCCACTCAGCGGGTCCCCAACAAAGCCCAGGGCAAGCAGCGCCCTTTCTGGAATTCTCTCCCTCAGCTCCTGCCACCCTGAAGCAGCTGGTGTTTCTGACCCTGGGCGGCAGCAGGCAAGCCCTGCAAGCTTTAGGATGGCTCTCCTTTTCCCGAGTGCACGGTCCTCAGGACCCGAAGCAGAGGTCTGGAGGAAGCCTTCTGCCCGGGGTGTCACGCCCGGGGTGTCACTCCCAGGTGAACGGGAGGAAGCGCGCACCTCCTGGGCGGTAAGGTGGCATTGGAGGTGTGCGCGGGCAAGTCCCAATCTTGCTCCCGCAGGCTCCAGCTCTCTATGGTGGGCCCAAAAGCTCGGCAGGGGCCTACTCCTCCTCCGGAGGCCAAGAGCAGGCTCTCTCCGCCTCTCCCCTGGTTGAAAGGTGGAGTTACACAGAGAGGAGAGGCTCTTCCGCCTCCAGGGCTGCCCCAATTCCATCCATCCGGGTCTCCCAGACGGAGCCGCTGGGCATGGGGGACCGGAGGACCCCTTTGTGGACTCTGGACCTTCCATGCTGGCATCGTCTGGGGTGCGGGGTGGTCACCGTTCCTATGCCCAGGCAAGGTTCCGGGATGCTGGTTCACGCCGGCCGGTATCCCGGTCCCGACGGCGGAGAGAAGCCCGACCTCGGCTGGGCTCCCGGCCGCCCTCGACCCTCTCCTTCCCTTCGCCCGGGACAAAGGCTCCGGGTCTGCGGGGTGGCCGCCCGCCAGCCCGCTCCTGGTGAGCGCCACGCGGAGCCTTGGCACCCGCACGGCCGTCGGAACCGGAGCCGGGCAGCGCTCCCCTTACCTGCCGCTCCGCCGACGGCCTGCACCTCCATGTTCCGCTCTCCGCGCGGCGCTGGGCGCTTGCCTCTGCCTCCGGGCGTCCCCCTCCCCGCCCCGTCGCCTCGGCGTCCAGCCCCCCAGGGTGCCGCTCCACCTGGCGCTGTTCCTGCCTCTGCCTTATTCCCCCTGCTTCCAGCCCCCAGGGCCCCGCCGCTCCTGCTTCAGGCACTGTTGAACTTCCAGTCCCTGGCCACCTCCTCCACGCAGTCCCCTGGGCCTGCCCGCGTCACCATCTCATGCAGGCTACTTGGTCCTGTCTTTCTTTTCTGTGCAGGGCAGGCATTCTTTCAGGACCTGGCCCAAGGACCGTTAAAAGCCCCGGATCTTCTCTCCCAGTGTTCCATGGAACGCTGAAGATGGCGGCCAGCATGGCACTGCTGTCTCCAACACACCGGATCCCTGTTTCAAGGCAGTTTTACGTGGTTGTTTCAGAATGCTGCAGAGTCCCAGGTGTTTTGAGTTTTCTACAGAGAACTACCACCCAAAAGGTGCGCCTCAGAGGAAGTGTGGCAACACAAATGGTCAATTGCCCACCTGCGGGAAGATAACCTGGGCCTCTCCCTACATACCAGCAGGAGCCGCACCCCACCTCCAACCCCGCACAGCTGCACACCCAGGTCAGCAGGAGTTGGGGTGGGAAAGGGTGATGCTACTATTTACATTTGTCAAATGAGAAAAAAGAAAAAAAAAATACAGGCATTTGCTTCCATTAGCCGGTGCCTGGTAAAATCATAAATGCTACAATTTAGAAAAAGAGTTGGCCACAACACTGTGGCTCAACAGGCTAATCCTCCACCTTCCAGCACCAAGATCCCATGTGGGCGTGGGTTCATGTCCCGGCTGCTCCATTCCCATCTAGCTTCATGCTTATGGCCTGGGGAAGCAACAGAGAACAGTCCAAGTGCTTGAGACCCTATAGCCACCTAGGAGACCTGGAGGAGGCTCCTGGCTCTTGGCTTCGGATGGGTTCAGCTCTGACCATTGCAGCCATCTGGGGCATGAATCACTGGATGGAAGATCTTTCTCTGTCTTTCCTTCTCTCTGTAAATCTGCCGTTCTAATCAAAATAATAAATCTTTTAAAAATATGTATTTGACAGGCAGAGTTTCAGACAAAAAGAAAGAGCTCTCCCATCCTCTGGTTCACATCCGGATAGGCCATAAACCCGGCCAAACCCAGGAGCTAAAATCCCATCCCTGTCCTTCATGCTGGTGGCAGGGCCCAAGCCCGTAGGAAACTAGTTCTTCATACAGAGTCATATGTCCATCATTGCGGGCATGGACAATGGCAGAGAGTCCAGCATCCTGTTGTCAAGATAGAGTAAACAGTTTCATTGTAAGTCCATCTTTGTCTGGAAGTAGAAATGCATGCTACATTGCATCCTCACATCTGGATGTTAGTCTCCATTTCACAGCTATTGTACATCCCCTTAAATGAAAAGCCATAATACAAAATCAACAATAGAAAGAAAAGAAGAAATTTACAATGCCATGAAGTTAAATAACATGTTACTAGCTATGACAGTCTTATTACACAGCTACTATACATCCCCTTAAATGAAAAGCCACATAACAAAATCAACATCAGGGAGAAAAAAGAAATTAATAACACCATGAAGTTAAATAACATGCTCCATAATGACTAACGTGTAGCTGAAGAAATGAAAATCAAGAACCTTCTTGCAGAAAATAATGCTACTGTGTGATCTATGAGTCACTGAAGAAGTTAATCAGAAGAAAGTGTTTTGAAGAGATGAAACTAACAGAAAACATCCAAACCCATGCGATATATATTCCGCTAATTATTGTTGGTAAAATGTGTCCCTTCTAGACAACAAATAGATGGGTTCTGTTTTTTAATCCAGTCTACTAATCTATGACATTTGATTGAGCTTAAGCCATTTACATTCAGAATTTAATATGTATGGATGGTTCTTTGGTCCTGTCATTTTAGCAATGGGTTGTTCATTGGTTTAGTCTTCTGTTGTCATTTTACTGGGATGTTCTTCACATTTGCCTTTGGTTTTGGTAGGTGCTATTCCTCTTCTCTGTCAAGAGAACATCTTGAAGTATCATTTGTAGGGCAGGTTTGAAAGAGGCAAATTCTTTTAACTTTTCTTTACCGTGGAAGAATTTTATTTCATTTTCAAAGACAAAAGAAAGCTTTGCTGGATATGTTATCCTAGGCCGACAATTATTTTCTTTCAGGATTTGGAATATGTCACTACATTCTCTTCTGGCCTGTAGAGTTTCCTGTGAGAGATCTCCTGTGAGTTTAATTGGCATTCCTTTATATGTCAATTGATTTTTTTCACGTGCACATTTAGGGATCTTTTCCTTATGTTCAATTGAAAAGAGCTTGATGATCATGTGTCTTGGTGAAGATCACTTTTAGTCAAGCCTGTTGGGAGTTCTGTGCCCCTCCTGGATGTGTTTTTCCAATTATTTCTCCAGATTAGGGAAGCTTTGCATTATTATTTGATTAAATATATTTGTGAAACCAGCTTCTCTTTCTGCACCTTCTGGGACTCCCATAACTCTTATATTAGGCCTCTTATAGTGTCTTTCAATTCTCGAATACTTTTTTTGGCCTGATCCAGCTCTGCTTTCAGCTTTTGTTTGTTTCCCCCTGATGACAGGAAATATCTTCTAATTCTGAGATTCTTTCTTCTGCTTGCTTCATTCTATTATTGAGACTCTCCACTGTACTTTTAATTTGTTCTACTGTGTTCTTAATTTCTGATATATCAGCCTTGATTTGCTTTATTGCTGCTATTGCTGGTATAAAATATTCCTTAAATTCTTTAAACTGCTTCTCATTGTTGATCAGAAGCTTTAAAATACGTTTTCTGAATTTTGTGCCCCCCATTTTCTCCTTGTCTTCCTCAGTTAACGCTGAGGTTGGCATAGGGGTTTGCTCTTTTGCAGGGTAGTTTTCAGTAATATTCATTGTGCCTTTGTCTCTTCTTTTGTTCTTGGTCATTGTACTTCTGGTTAGCAGAGTCTTCTCCTTTGGACAGGTTTCTAAGCTGTGTCACCCCCAGGTATACAGTTTGATTTTACTTATTGCAGTTGTTACACGGCTGTTTGTTTGCAGTCAATTGTGCCACTCCCTCCAGCAAGTTCCAGGTCTGGGTTCTTATGTTAGATTTCCACAAAGAACTCCGTAGCCCCAACTCCTGGCTCACTAATCTCCACCTCCTGTGATACCGTGCTGAGGCTGCACTGTTGTCTGTACAACCTTTCTCCCACTTCCGGTTGGAGCAGGTGCCAGGATTAGGGAGACACTAGGTGTCCTATATAATTAGGTTGTTGGTGGCACTGATCTTGCCTGAACCTGTTGGATGTTAGGTCTGGGTGCCACACGAACCTATTTTGGCCCATACGATGCCACAGTTGGTATTATTTTCCTGCGGGACCAGTGCAATCCATGAAGCTCAGTGAGTTCTTGTGAGCTCAGCACATGCACAGTTCACTGTTGTGCCCTGCAGTCCTAAAGCTTTTGCCACAGTGTACAAAATGGTGCCTGACATTCCTCTACTAGAGTTCTTGATGTGCTGTCTGTCAGGTCTGAGGGCTGCCCAGACCTGTCTTGGGTGGAACCTGTAGAATGTCAAGTTGCTGCAGTTCACTGAGTCAAAAATTAATTCACTCCCAGCTTAGCTATGCTCATTCCTTACCCTTGCCTTTGCCTCCTTAGGCAAAATGGCACCCAGTTTGGCTCTAGGGGGCTGACTGGGCTGTAAAATCCACCCTGTTCTCGCACTGCCCATCTGGGATCTGCAGCTCGGTCTCTGCTCCTGGTCAAATCAAACGGACCAGCAGGACAGATTCATCTCCTAAGCTCCCAGTGAAAGTCCCTTCCCACCTTTTTGCTGGTGGAGTTCTGGCTGCTGGTGGAGTTCAGATCACCATACTGGAGCATCAGTCACTGCAACACCACACTGCTGTGCCCGCTGCTTTCCTGTGTCTGTCAGTCTCCAGGTACTGCTCTGCTGTTGTTCTGTCCTCTGCTATTTCCTGGGATGTGTCCTCTCTGCTTCATCCTGATGAAATGTTTCTCTGTCCGTTTAAATGTGTCTTTACCCTATTCTGCCATCTTGATTCTGTTGTTCTAGAACCTTTCCAAAAAAATTCCAGAAATAAGCAATGCATAAGCTTTAATGAGTGCACTGTTCTAGAATCCTGCTCCTTCCCACTGCATCCTGCCCTGTGCCCAGTGTTTCCTGGCTATATGCTGTACCTGCCCGATGCTTACTTAGCGGCCATCTCGGGCTCCAGAGGGACTGTAGTGGTATTGCAGTGCTTGGGTTTGTTGCCATGTGGGATTTCAGGCCTCCCCAGGGCCAGTAGAGCCCCTTGCCCTCTGCACACACAGGTAAGGGTAGACTACACCAGGGTGTCCATCTATCAGCAGCCAGATCACATTTCCTCCTAAAGAAACCTGGAGTTCTCATGCAGGGGTTTGCACACAGTAGCCACAGGCCCAGGCCAGCCCACTGCCTATGCTGACACAGCTTGAAAGCTAAAGAGTTTCTACACCGATAAATAGGTGTGTGTGTGTTGCGGGGGGGGGGGGGGGGGGGCGCGGATCAAAGGCTGTTTCACGATACATCAACTTGATATGAAATTGAAAATTCAGTGTCCATAAATAATTATGGATGTGTGGTGACACCCATGCATTTGCATGGTCTCTATGGCTGCTCTGGTACTACCATGGCAGAGCTGAAGGGTGCAGCAGGGACCACCACAGCCCATCAGGTCTAACGTACAGTTTGGGACCTTTTGTAGGAAGTATGCACTGGCTGGGCCGACAGGGCATAAAGTGGAGAGGGAGAGACGTGGCAAGGCTGAATTCTAAGCACTGCTTTGGTGGAGAAATGTTTCTGAGAATTAATTTTGCTTAAAGAAATGGTCTTTAGAACATTCATGTAAAATGCATATTATGATACCACTCTGCATGGGTTTCAAAATGTTTTGGACCAGAATAATCTCATCTTTAAAAAAACAGTAGGGGCAGAGGCACCAGAGACGTTAAGACAGAGTTCCCGTCCACTGGTTCACTCCTCAACAGTTGCAGTCAAGGCCAGAGCTAGGAGCTCAATGCAGGTCTCCCAGGTGGCCGTCGGGGACCTAATGACCCGAGCCGTCAGCTGGCGCCGTCCTGGCCCTGCACGTGTAGGAAGCTAGAGTCAGAAACCGGAGCCAGGAACTGAACACAGTTACTCCAACACGGGATGAGGAAATCTAATTCATTTTTTAGTTAATATATTTTTTTTCAAGAGGCAGAGACATGGAGAAAAAAAGCTCTTCACTCCCCTGGCTCACTTCCCAATGGCCTGCAACAACTGGGCCTGGGCCCGGGCCAGAGCTAGAACCAGGAACCAGGAGCTGAATCCAGGTCAACCCCCTGGATGGCAGGAAGAAAGGCGCTTGAGCCATGACCTGCTGCCTCCCCGGCTGTGCACTACCAAGAACCGGAAACAGAAACCAAGCTGAGACGTGAACCAGGGTGCAGATGCATGTAGGGTTTTCCCTGCTGTGTCAAACACCAGCCAGGAGGTGGACATCTTCCAGCCTACACACCCACTCCAAGACAGACAATGCCAACATTTCCCACAAGCTTTTCGAAGCGCTGCGTAGGCCTCACAGCAGTGATCACACCAGCTTATGCTCATTATTGTTTTTGAGATCTCAAAGTGCATCCCGATGACCGACTTACTTTCCCCATCGCCCAAAGGAATCCAACTAGTTTGGTGAAATTTCATTTTCATCAAGCATACCAAAAATGTGTCATGTAGTCAGAGCTGTGTGTGTCGGAGGCAGTAAACAAGCCCTTGTAATCCTTTCCTCTTGCTTAACCAGAAAATCAACACTTGCCAAGGAAAAATTGAAAACAATCCCACAAAGTTTTATGTTCGGCTCAAAGCATGGAATGCTCTCAGGCCTCGGGATCATGTAATCCTGCCAACCCAGCATGGCTGCTGTGACGTTGTGGGTGGGAACACGCGTGTGCTGCCGCTGCTTTCCCTCCAGTCCACTCAGAGGGTCACAGCTCACCCTCTGAATTCCAGACTCAGACAAGGTCGCAAATGTTTTCCTCTCAGAAAGCAGACTCATCGGAGCGATCACTGTGCTTTCTGTTAAACAAAGCATCTCCCCGCAGGTGCCCTCTTGGTTCTCGGGCTACTGTCTGTCATTGGCCGAGAGATTGTGTTGGCTATGGCAACCGTGATGGACCCATTTGTTTGGCCAATGAGAAAGGAACAAAAGCAAAAATGTCAGACCTCAAAATCCATACTTCTCTAAACTGCTTTCATTTTGCAAAGTGGGTGTGTGTGCGGAATGAACTCAACAGGCATGCCACATGGCTAAGTGGAAAAAATGTCTTGATTCTCTTGTACTATTTTTTTTTCTTTCATAACAAAATTAGAGAAAACTTTAGGGTAGAAGAGTGGAAACTTCAGAGCACATTTTGTTTCAGTTAAAATAAGAAAGACTCATATCAGATTCCTGAAATATAGCAATAAAATTGTGGCTTTGTTAATTGGGGAAAAATCCATCTTGTTCCAAACTGGTGTTCCAGTGCACAGGGCGTGAGCTGACATCAGGAGACAGCAGTGAGCATACCTGACCTGCTTGCTTAGGACTAAGAGCAGAGTTCAGCTCGGGTGGCAAATACATGCCAAGTGTGGGCCTGATCTCCCGGATGAGTGGCAGAGACCGGGATGGCAGGAGGCAACTTTTGCAAGCATGTGAAGGGAACATGAGAAATGGAAATTGCCTTCAAATTTGATTTTTTTTTTTTTGCATTGTTTTCACTCTCCAACTAAGGTGCGCCCTGTGCATCACCTTTCTTGCAGGGCAGCCAGGGTAGGCAAGTGGGGACAAATACCATTTTCCACCTGTTCTTGGCTTCCAGGTAGCCTCTGGCCCCACTAGGGACCAATTAAATAGAAGTGTGTTTGACTAGGAGTCCCAAGAGAGACCCAATGAAAGAGGTGCACTTAAAAACACAGGAGTTAGAGGAGTCATTAAATAGATGGAGCCCTGCGGTCTGATTCTCTCCTATGGGGCACAAGGAACTTTCTGGAAGCAGCAGAATACTGCTGACTGTCTCCCTAAGTGGAATTTGTCTTGCTCAAAGGTGGGTCAGGGAAAGAAGGTTGTGTTTTTGTTCTTATTGTATAACTAATGAAAAACGGTACTTTCAGGAAAAAAAAAAAAGGTAGTGTTGTCTGAAACATCAAGCCTTGGGTTGCTTGGCATGGGGGCTGCACTGCCTCTCTGTGTGGAGGGTCAGTGGCTCTGGGGACAGGGCCTGGTACCGGGACAACCATGCTTGGGGGCTGCTGTGGCGCCCAGGCCAAGGCTCTGCGGCTGAAGCTTTCAAACGCAGGACCATAAGTTTCACCTGCAGGCAGGAGAAAGGTTGATTTTATTTTCCATGTTTTGTAAAATTCATTGAAAAGCCTCCAGATGTCCAAAACCTTAAAACCTTAAAAGCTAAACACAAGAGGGGGAGGGGAGGGAGAGCTGTTAAACAGGAAATAAAAACCAAGGTGGAAGCCTACATGGATGCTATGAGCCACACTCCGGGCTGGCCCTGGATTGAGTCCTTGGTCCTTCCCGGGAACGTTTGCCGGGCGCTAAATCTGAGGTACCCCTTTGCTCCATTCAGAGCCAAAAATTGTCCCAGATGCACCTGTTCAGAAAGGCCCCCGGGTGCCCTAGCCCTCCGCAGGGCTGTGGCCAGCAGCATTCTGCCCTGGCCGCACCAGCACGCAGTGGCATCATCTTACCACAGCAGCAGTGACCCTGGGGACGTAGGCGCACTGCCCACGTCACTGTCATGGATCCCCAGCCCGGCTGCGTGGTGGTCACGGGTAACAGTTTCTTTCTCTTGTTCTTGCTTTGTTTTCCCTGGAATGTGCGCTTGCCGGGTCCTGGGGAGAAGGGCTCCGGGAGGGGACAGAGTGGCAGCTGGCGGAGTTATGGGCACTAGTGCAAGCTCCAAGCTTGCTTCCTGCTCTGCCTTGTGAGCCCCTTAGCTAGCCTCCGGGGTTTTCCTGCTTCTGCCCACACTGACTCCAGGTGATTCCTGGGCGGCTTGGGCTCCAAGTATAGTTCAACACCACCAGCCAGGGCTTGTTCTCCCAGGGTCCAGGGCAGGATGGGTACAGCTGGCATTGTTGGGGTTCAGTTTCATAGCAAGGAATGGGGACAGGAGCCCTGTGGTGGACACCCCAGAGAAGCACAGGACTTGAAGCAAGCACAGCTGTCCCCAGGTGCCACCCTAGCCGCCTGCATCTTGCCTGTGCCACAGCTGTCTCTCAAGGACTGGATCTTCACATAGCTTCTGCTGTAGACACACCTGGCACACTTTCCCTTCCTGAAAATTGGGTTAAAAGAAGGAAAGCTGGACAGCGTTTGTTGCGGGTGAAGCACAGGTCTGGCAGTGCCATTGTGCCTCACAAGATGGCATGGGTCTCTGTCTCAGCCTTCCCAGGCCCCTGGGCTGCTGGCAGATGCTGCCCCACCTGGCAATGCCACATGCCCCCCAACTGTAGCCTCCCTTCCCTAGACTTGCTCAGAGCTCCTGGGAGCAGCCTCTGGGTGTAACTGGAATTGGTGGTGGACAGATAGGGGAGCAAGGACTCTGACAATCTTCTACGGTGACTGGTACCAGTGATGAGAGAGAGAGAGAGAGAGAGCAAAAGCTTGCACTGTGTCCTGGGCATCCAGGGATCCCAGGAGATGGACTTCCCCAGCTCCACTCAAGGTTGGCCTCTTGAGGTCCCAAAGCAGGAAGCTTTGGCTCCTGCAAATCAGGCATGGCATACCTGTACCTGCTGGGCCCAGCACGATGGCTCAGTGGCTAAATCCTCATCTTGCAAGCGCCAGGATCCCATGTGTGTGCTAGTTCATGTCCCAGCAACTCTACTTCCCATCCAGCTTGTGGCCTGGGAAAGTAGGGATGGCCCAAAGCCTTAGGACACTGTACCCGCTTGAGAGGCCAAAATCAGCTCAGCTCCAGCCATTGCAGCTACTCAAGGAGTAAACCAGTGAATGGTCTTTTTTTCTGCCTCTCCTTTTCTCTGCAGATCTGCCTTTCCAATAAAAATAAATAAATATTTCTTAAAATCCTGCTGACAGGTGCTTTTCCTGATCTGAAACAGAGAGGAAAGAGAGAGCTCTCATCTACTGGGTCACACTCCCAAATGCCCACAGTGGCCAGGGCTGGGGGCAAAGCCGAGAGCCAGAAACTTAACCCAAGTCTCCAACATGAGTGCCAAGAGCCCAACTCCATGAGCCATCTTCTGCCACCTGCCAAGGTACACACGAGCAGGAAGCTGAAACCAAGTGCAGGCATGGGAGGAGATGCTCTGATGTGGGCTGGGCACACCAGCAAGTGGCTTCTTAATCACACACCTGACACCTGCCCTATGGTTTTCATTTTAATGTTTAAACCCACACTCCATTTTACTCACTTTCCAGTAGATTGTCTTAGGTGTGTGGGGGGGGGGTGCCTATGGGTGTGTGCGCCTGCCCCAGCACCTTTGCAGGGAAGGCTCTCACTGTCTCCTCCACTGCGTGGCTTTTGCACATCTGTCAACGAACAACAGAGCACGTTCCTCCCATGGGAGCAGTGCTGGTTCTGACACCTGCCTTCCAGTCCGACCTGTGTGCACACGTTTCTCTGCCCCTCCCGAGAAGCCGCTCGCATCACTCCCAGCCTGGGGACCTTGCAGGAATTGCCTGCCTTGATGATCAGGGTAGCTGCAAGGGATCTAGGCAGAGGCATAGCACAGCTTGGTTTGAGCCACCTTTGTTGACTTTGGTTTCAGGTTTTGGGCCCTTCCGGCAGCACCTGGTGAATGCCAGCTGGGAAGCGGTGAAGGTAAGTAAGTCTTTAACCCTGACTTGGAGAGCCACTTGAAGGCATTCGGGCATCCTCAAAGCCGACGAGCCTCCCACATCCACTGCATCTTATGCCGTGTTATGGTTGGACAGTGCTTTCCTGCTTCTTTGGACAGTCTGTTTTTGTTGCTAAAAAGAGATTTATTGGGCCCGGCATGATAACGTAGCAGTCAAAACCCTCATCTTGAACACACCAGGATCCCATATGTGCGCTGGTTCTAATCCCGGCAGCTCCACTTCCCATCCAGCTCCCTGCTTGTGGCCTGGGAAAGCAGTCCAGGTTGACCAAAGCCTTGGGACCCTGCACCCACGTGGGAGACCCAGAAGAGGCTCCTGGATTCGGATTGGCTCAGCTCCAGTCATTGCGGCTGCTTGGAGAGTGAACCATCAGACAGAAGATCTTCCTCTCTGTCTCTACTCCTCTTTGTATATCTTCCTTTCCAATAAAAATAAATAAAAGAGGCTTATTTTTATTTATTTTTATTGGAAAGGCAGATTTATGGAAAGAAGGAGAGATAGAGAAAAAGATCTTCCATCTGCTGATTTATTTCCCAAATGGCTGCAATGGTTGGAACTCAGTCAATCTGAAGCCAGGAACCAGGAGCTTCTTCTGAGTCTCCCACTTGGGTGCAGGTTCCCAAGGCTTTGGGCCATCCTCTACTGCTTTCCCAGGAAGAAGCTCACTTTGGGCAGGTTGGGCATTGATCCCATGGTGTCTCAGCCCACCCCACTCCTCTGCCCCCTCCTGCACCCACTTTTGGGCAGCTCCGACTCTTCAGCTCCTTGTCTCAAAGATAAAGCCCAAACCTGGCTAACCACATGATCCAAAGATTCCTCCAACTCCTGCTCCCATCTGCCCATGTGCAGGGCTCCTGTGGTACTGTCAGTGTGTGGGGGGTTCTCACTGGAATACCTGGGGGCACCCTAGCCAGCCAGAATGCAGCGAGGAGCCCGGCATGCTTAATGTCCTGTCACACCAAGTTCCCAATGGCTTCAGGCTCCACCCTCTCCCCCACCTCCCAGCTTCGTCCTAGCTCAACCCATCCTTCTGTCGAACCCACCCATGCCCCTCTGCAGACACGCCCTTCCTGAGGCCACCACTTCCCCACCTTCTGGAGACAGGTGCAGCTGCATGTGTGGGCACCTGGCCCTCTAGATGGCCTCTTACCAGCCGGTGAACTCAGCAAAGGCAGGGGTCCAGCCTGCAGAAGACACCTTGGAGAGGACCCCCAGAGCGGCAAGGTGTCTGCTTCTTTCCACAGGAGCTCTCCAAGCTGGGCCTGGGTGGTGACTTGGGAGTGGAGCTGCGGACTCTTGAGCTGCCCGTGGACTACAGGGAGGTCAGGAAGAGGGTCGCTGGGATCTGGGAAGACCTACGACCGCAAGTGAGTAATGGCTGCAGAGGCGGTGGGGCCAGATGAAAGCGCAGGCGGGGCTGGTGCTGGGGTGGATGGCCACAGTGTACCCTGCGCACACTGAGAGGTCTCCACGGATGGCGAGTGGCTCTGGGTCTGTCTGTAAAAGTTGAAGCTGAAATGTGGAATAGCTCTTAAGAGAAACTATGGGGAGAGAGGAAGAAAACGAAAGTGCTATTTTCAGCCAGGAGAGATAGGCCCCATCCACGTCCATATGACAGGTGGCTGGGGAGGTACAACACAGGGCAAGGACGTCCCAGGTCCAGGGAATAACTGGGAGTGTGGCCCAGTGGGCATGGAGGGAGCCCATCATCCCCAGCCAAATCATTCCTTTTTTTTTTTTTTTAAGATATATTTATTTTCATTTGAAAGGCAGATTTTACAGAGATAGAAAGAGATGACCCTCCATCCATTGATTCACTCCCCAAATGACCACAATCGCCAGAGCTGAGCTGATCTGAAGCCAGGAGCCACGTACTTCCTTCATGTCTCCCATGTGAATGCAGGGCACAAGAACTAGAGCCATCCTCTGTTGCTTTTCAAGGCCACAAGCAGAGTTGGAACAGAGGTGAAGCAACCAGCACATGAGCCAGTGCCCACATGGGACGCCAGCACCACAGGCTGCAGGATTAGCCACCACACCGGCTCCACTGAGATCTGATTACTAAAATACACTAATCCAGCAAAACCAAAATGAAACAAAAATCAAAACAATCACCAATTAACAGCACGAACAAAACAAACCCGGCCAGACTGTTAAAAGAGGATGCCCCAAGGGTTTGGGTAAAATAGCAGTTGTTTTTGAAAAAAAGGAACAGTAGTCGGCTCAGCTAGATTTCAACCAGATTTTTCTTGGACTATTATCAACTTCCTTTATGACAATTTTCTACAAAAGATTGCCCTGATGCACTAGGCTTCTCTTAGGAGCGCCTCAGGGGCCAGCCTGCCAGTCCCTCACCTTCTGGAAAGCAGACTGCCCTGGCCCTTGGGAGGTTTTGAAAGGCTGACATGGAAACAATGTCAGCGCAGTGTGGGTCTCCTGGTTGCTGAGATGCCCCACTGCTTCCTGCCACTAGGGGACCGTCACGTACTTTGCACCCCCTACACCTTGGCCCTCCTACGCACCTGGGGGACACAGCGGCCTGGGTGTCCTGCAATCTCCAAACGGTCGTGTGTGTCCACACAGCTCGCTGTGCACGTGGGCATGGATGCCTCCACCAAGGTGATCATTCTGGAACAGTGCGGCAAGAATCGCGGCTACTGGGATGCGGACGTGCGGGGCTTCCGGCCGGAGGATGGCATGTGCCTCCCAGGTGGTCCGGAGGTGATGGAGTCTGTGGTCAGCATGAAGGCGGCCTGCAAACACATCGCCCTGGAGGGTGTCGACGTGGCCTTTTCCCGAGATGCGGGCAGGTGCAGCGTGAGGCTGCTGGGGTCGGGTGGACACTGCACTGCCCCTTATGCTGACATGTCCTGGAGATGGGAGGGGGCTCTGAGAAGTGACACGAAGTTCCTTGTGGTTGCAGGTACATCTGTGACTACGCCTACTATCTGTCCCTGTATCTGGGAAACCGCTGCGCGGTGTTGGTCCACGTGCCACCCTTGTCGCGCTGTCTCTCTGCCCACCTGCTGGGAGAAGCCTTACAGGTTATTGCCCGGGCACTGTTGGAGCAGAGCTCCACAGCCCGTGCCCAGGGCCTGGCTGGCAGAACACACGGCCACATGGATTCTGACCATGGAGAATGGCCGGGTGAGTCTTCTTTAGACAAAACGCAGCCCTTCAGCCCTGGGGGAGTTCGCCCGTGGTTTGCTAGAGGGAGAGGAGTACTTGGTGATAGTTTTCAGGATGATAGAGTAAAAGAAATCTCATTCATTTTTTTCCTTCTAAACAGCTGTGTAATGGGTCCGTGTGGTCTGTCCTGGCAGAGGCCATGAACACACGGGTGTGGCCATGCCATGTGGCACGGTGCCAGCCTCCGGGTTTGCAGCTCCAGCTCTGGAGCCAGTGTCGCCAGCATCTGCCCTTTTCTACTCCTTTAACCCATTCTTAGGTGTGTTGTTTAGTATGTTGCGGGCAATGACCATCACCACCCATCCCTAGAATTTTCTTACTATCCCAAACCGAAGTGCTGGGTTGGTTACGCAGCATATAGCATCCCATACAGGCGCCGGTTTGTGTCCCGGCTGCTCTGCTTCCCATCCAGCTCCCTGCTTGTGGCCTGGGGAAGCAGTGGAGGGTGACCCAAAGCCTTGGGACCCTGTATCCATGGGGGAGACCCGGAAGAGGCTTGGATCATCTCAGTTCCACTGTTGTGGCCATTTGGGGTGTGAACCAGCAGAGAGCTCTTTCTTTTGCTGTCTCTTCTCTCCATACATCTGCCTTTTCAATCAAAATAATTTTTTTTTTTTTAAGGTTTAGGTATTTAGCTACAGACAGTAGGAGAGACAGATCTTTTATCAATTGGTTTACTCCCTAAATGGCTACATTGGCCAAAGCCAGCAGGTTTTTGTTGCTTTTGGGGGGGGGGTTTCCCATGTGGTACAGGAGCCCACATACTTGGGCCATCTTCCACTTCTTAGGTGCATTAGCAAGGAGCTAGATCGGAAGTGGGACTCAAACTGGAGTCCACCTGCTGGCATTGCAGGTGGTGTGAGTCACTATGCCACACTGGGCCTGATCTCTAATAAAAACCAGACTCTCCTTGCTTCCTCTTTGTTCCATCTTCGACACTGTACTGGGTATTGGGCCAAGCTGCTCTTAGCAAAGCCCTATGCATCCAGTGTGTTCTGGTGTGTATATGTGCAAACACCTCTGCAAGACCTCCTGGAGACATAATTTTTATGAGAAAGTGAAGGCAGTGAACTCTGGGAAATGTCTTCTGACGTCGCAGTGCTCACAATGGCCACTTACAGCATCATCGCATCGGACACCCCGTAGCTACTGTGACTCAACCCCTACAAGGGAAGCCTTTGCAACTCATGGCCAAGGAGGCAGGCGGGCCCCGCTGGCTTCCTCGCTAGACCTCTGCACACGTGGGCACTTGGAAGGGACTGTGCAAGATTTCCTTGGATCCTTTGACATTGAATCAAAGTCACGGTGACAGGGTAACGTGTGGTTGTGAGCGCGCCTTGGGACAGGCAGCTGTTGCCCAGAGCTCCCCAGCCTCCCAATTCCAACTCAGCATCCACAGCACAGGCATGCAGCCACCTCCTCAGGCCTGGCACCACGCACACAGCAGGTGCATCGCCGCCTTCCTCTCTGGATCAACTCTCCCTGACTCCCCTTTCTGGGGCCCAGTCACACTCCGGTGCCTGGAGGCCGGTCCCTGCCCTCCATGTCACAGGGCTGGGGGCAGACAGATGACACCTCTCAGAATGTTTGAAAATCACAGCTTCAGGCGTGTGTGACCAATTTGCTCATCTTTCTCGCAGACATAAGGAGCCCTTCCTTTGCAGGATGGGTGCAAACACCCAAGGAGACATTGGACAGGAGGCCTCTGGCAACATCAGAACATGACAGAGGCCACACCTCTTGGTGGGGACTCTGACATAAACAAACGCAGCCCAGGGGACCTAACACCCAGGGGAGAGGTCCCCAGCAGAAGACGCAAGCAGCCTGAGGCCTGGCCAGGGCCATGTTGCACTTGGTGGTCTCAGAAATGGTGCTTCCATTTATCTTGTACCCTAGGAAGGTCTCCTCCCCGCCAGGCACTTAGTGACAACAAAGACTAAAAACCCTGGGGCCACACCCAGCTGGGGGAGGGGGGGTCTTAAAAGGCTGCAGAGGCAGAGAGCTTCCTTTTGCTGGTTTACTCCCCTTTAATCTCTACAGGAAGCCTGGAGCAGCGGGCCATCCAGGGATCCCACATGGATGGGAGCAACAGTTCCTCCAACTGTCAAGGCTGCTTCTCCGGGTCTGCTTGCTTAATTAAGAGGAGGCTGGGAACCTCCCCCCACCCGAGTGCACAGCCCCACGGGAGGTGAACAGTTGCCTGGGACATTTCTCATGCCCAGGCCTTCTGCCTCCAGGGCTCCAATGGTCCAGAGCCTGACTTGGCTTAGGAGTATAATCTTCCAGGGGTAAAATTCAGGCAGACGTGGGGGCTGGGCATCTTCCAGCCATGTGTAGTTCTCTCCCCGCCCTGCCCCCTCCCTAGGGAATGCTGTGTGGGTGGCAGGGTCCTTGAGCCCCACAGGAGAGGCGGCAGCACAGTGCACAGCCTGCAGTATGTGTCACCCTGGGGTGCTTGGCTCAGTGCCCTGCGGGGTGCGTGTTAGCTGGGACTCTCTCTCCCTGCAGATGTGAAGAGCTGATGTCCTCTGCATGGGCAACCCAGACCAAGTTGTGTTGGCCCGGCTTGTCAGTTGAAGACATAGGAAGGCCGACAAGCATCAGTTTTTCTGTCTTGCTCTTCCAGCTGATGCAAGGAGATGACACGACTTAGTTTCTCTATCTTGGCACGGGGACATGGTTCAGCTCAGAAATAGAAGTGCTTTCCCCAGGGCACATGATGGAGCAAGGGGCCAGAGGCACAGGTGCAGGGGAAGCTTCCAGAAAATGGCGGGACAAAACCAACAGACAGAAGATGCATACAGAATTCCTTTATTTAACTTAAACCATGTAATATTTTTTAACTACTAGAAAAAAGCAGAGTAAGAGAAACTAAAGTTGCCTTAGCTTCAGCCATTCAAAATAGACAAAAGTTTTTTTTTATTGTTTTTGTTTTTTTTCTGTAATGTAAAGAATTCAGAGTATATTGTGATAACAGGAGTAAATTCTTATAATAACAGAACATACAAAAACATTTTGAAATTTTTTTTCCCTCTACTTATTTCATATAAAGAGAGTTTTTTTTTTTTTAAAGGAATAACATACACAGAAATTCATGTTATAAATTGGCCAGGTTATTACCTTTTTTTAATTTTTTTTAAACTTTTTCTAAAAAACCTTTTTGTAACAAGAAAACTCAGAAAATGCATTATTTGTGATGCATCCATTCCATCGTGCCTTCTAGTTTGATTATTTATTTTTTTAGCCCAGAGGTAGACAAACTCTGGCGAACCTCTCCCCTCCAGCGTACTGGCTTACACAGCAGACAGGTGACCAGGCACCTGGTCCACCGGGCACGTGTCCATGCAATGCCAAACAGCCACACGAAAAAGTGAAAATAAACAAAACAAAAAACAAAAATGCTTTCTGGACCTATCTTCTGGGTAGTGCAAAAAATATATATATATGATAATAAAAAATAAGAAATAAAAAAAAAATTCAAGCGTCTCCACCAACGAGGGAGACTCAGCCAGCCATGCACTGGCGCCAGAGGCAATGGAGTTGGACGTTTCTGTAGTGTGTTGGAGTTTCAAGCCCAGCTGACGGCATTGGCGTACCTTCGGTGTTCCAGCTTAGCACACAGAGCTCGCCCTCGCCACAACAGGGTGTTCACAGTGGTCTGAGGCGCGTGTGCCAGGAGCACCCGTCCTTCCCGCGACCCGTGTGTGTGTGTGTGTGTGTGTGTGTATGTGTATTTGTGTGTGTTTGTGTGTGTGCGTGCGTGCGTGCACTGAGATGGCTGTGAAAGCCACGGCCATGGCCCAGCAACCTGCCCCTAGGCTGCGCAGTGCCATGGCTGGGTGGCGACACCTCTGCTGTCCCATGGCCCGTGAGGTTCCTCCCAGAGGAAGCAGCTACAATCCAAACGGGAGTGGCCAGGAAAAGATGACAGAGATCCTGAAAACACACGGCTGTTTTTTAAAATCACCATCATTTCTTTGTTCTCAAATAGGGCACAAAGCATGAGGGGAAGGAGGTGGGACTGTGGCTCGGGTCGGGGACTAATCCTCTTTTTGGCATGTCATAAAGCTAGCTAGCCAACAGGTGTCCTAAAAAATGGATCACGAACACGTCTTTGCACACACGGAGAAAAAAAAAGTGTCTTTAAATTATTCTCGGCAATTACAAACTACGAACTTTTTTTTTATAAAATTATTCTATGTTCTTACAAAAATGCAATGAAAACATTTAATTAGTTCTTGTAAACCAGATCTTCGTCAACTGACTACCCGTAATCTACTGGACTTCAGAGTCCTATTGAAGACGCTAATGAGTGACTAATGGAGACGGCGTTTACCAGGAAGATGGGACACACACACACTGGACATTAACACGCGAGTGCTCGAAATACAACAAAACCCTAACCTAATGGCACGCCCCAAGAACCGACACCCCCACTGACAGGTGTGATGAACTTGAGTTCTTGAATGACTTGAACCTGACGCGACTGCGTGCTAAGGTTCCAGAACAGAGCTTTGCTGTGGAAACCAAACAGCCACAGAGGGCTGTGGAGCCTCAAAGTGGGCAGACACCTTCATGTCCGAGACGTCACATGACTTCTTCCAAGCCCTGGTCCTTCACTTGTTGATGGCCTCACGGGTGGCTCCCGCTGTCCGGTCCTCCGGCATCAGGGAGCAGCCATGTCTGTGTCCGACTAGGGACCCTTGCGGCCCGTTCAAGGCCTGTAACTTCAGCATCTCTGGCAGCAGAGGTTCGGCAACACCACATCCTCTCTCCAAGCTCTCCTTCGTGCCACCTTCTGCTTCTGGGCAGAGTAAAAAGTCTGACTTTGATCACTGGGACTTCAGGAGTGGGTCTTGGGTCCACGCCTCCCAAGGCTGCTTAGCCCAGGAAAAGACACACAAATGGAGCATCTGCCAAGGACCCACACCCAATTCCTGGCGGTTCTGAGCATCCCCTGGAGCCTCCTGTCAGCTGCAGGGGGGCAGGCTAGCAAGGGAGTTGCCTCCCGCACCCAGCCCCCTCAGAGGACCCAAGGGAGCAATGGGCTCTGGGTGACCTCACCACCCAGAGAGGCATCAAATTAGCCTAGAATCTGGTGCCAGGCGTGGCTCGTCCATCCGATACCCCAAGTAAAACAGGGCACGGTGCACCAAGTATTCATGCACTTGGTGGGTCCCCAGTAACCACTTTCCTGTTTCACAAAGCCACTTTCCTCACCATCGGAACATCGTCCCGAGTCTCAGGAGACAGGCTCGGGGAGAGGCCAGCTTTGGCCACTCACAAGGTTTTCTGTCTTCCGAGGAGGAACTCAATTTCTGCTGGGGGCGGGGGGTTTATACCCCAGCACGCCTGTCCAGGAGCCTCATGCAGCCCAAAGTCAGTATCTCCAGCATACAGCAGCACCCCCCACCACCACCACTGCCGCCCCGGGGGAGGGCCACGTGTGAGAACATCCTAAAGCTCAAGGTCAAGTCCATGACAGGTGCCTCAGTGATTCACAGTGCTTCCAGCAGGAGGCGCTCCTCTGGGAGGAGGTCGCACAGCTCAGCCTGCTAGGGTGTGGAGCAGCAGGTGAGCCAGCACAGGCTGAAGCTGTACCTGCGGATACGCGATGACGCGCTACGGCGGAGTGGGCGGGTCGGTCCAGGGCGGCTGACTGTGCCACTGTGCACGCAAAATTCTTTCAATGAAGTGTCTGTGAAGCGTTCACCATGAGGGCCGCTACACTGAGTGCCTCCTATCTACTTTAAAGGAAAACCACCTACACGCAACAAAAACAGGACAGCGACAACGCTGACAGTTTACACAAAACCCTTGGTGCCAGCTGGTGGCTGTAAAAATCCAGTTGTGGACACGGGTGGGTCTGGGCGAGAGGGAGGAGAGGCCGCCATCCCAAAGGGCCCACTGTGAAATGGCCACAGGACACCTCCAATCCATGGATGCTACGGGTACCAGCCACGAGGCTCCCCAACACTCCTACCCCGGGGACTGGGGAAGGAGGGGTGCCCCCACCCAGGACTGCCAGGCTCCTGAGCTCATGGCAGTGCAGCACCAGCAGAACAGCTGCCCACCCTCGGGGAGAAGCCCCCGCCGCAGTCCCCAGCAAAAATCACCAGTGCCTGTGGCAGCAGCTGCTGGAAGCGGGGCGCACAGCCCAGCGGAGAGCAGCAGGATGAGGCAGGGGTGCTGGGTGCGGACCCCTGGCCTTCCAGCCTCCAGGACTGCTGGTGGGTCTCTTGGGGCCTCTGGGGAAAGGCGTGGCAGAGTGGAGGGAGCACCCTGGAGAGTGGGAGGGGGCTCTGTTCCCACAGCCCCACTTCCCCTATCACACCTGCCCCTTCCCCCCAGTGCCCAGCCTCTGGTGATGCATTCCGGCACAGAGAGGCCCACCAGAGCAGCAGCCGGGAGCCCAGCTGCGGGGACGCCCACCCAAAGGGAGACAGCTGTGGTGCCTCTGCTCAGAGAGTGGGGCCATGCACTCTACACAATGCAGCGTATTCCCAAGGCCACCAGCCAGGGTCAGGGCTGCGGGCGGGGAGCCCACAGCCAGACTCCTAGCCTCACTGGCCGCTACGCTGCGAGGAGGCAAATCTTGACACCTTGCAACCTCTGAGGAGACCAAGTCAGGAAAAGAAAAAAAGAAAAAAAAAATTAGAAGAAGAAGAAGCAAAAGCAACAGGAGAGGAGCTGCGGTGGAAGAGGCAAGTGGAGGAGAGCCAGGCTAGCGCTGCTGTAACCGGGGCGTGGCTGGGCGGGCCGCCGCGGCGGGGTGAGGTGGCCGGCAGCGAGGGCCGGCTGGTAGGCGCTGAGAACATGAGATGTATTCCTCTCTATATACACATATAAAAAAATAAGAGTGAGGTAGATAAACGCTTGCAAAGAAACAAACACCAGGAACCGTCCTGTCCCGCACGCGTGTGTGCGCACGCGCGCCCCTCTCCTTTGCCTCCAGGGGCCTTCTCGGCCATGTTAACAGGCATCACAGAACGTATCCTGAGCAAGCGCCCGTGCCTCCACCTCCCCAACGCACCTCTTTCTCAGGAAAACACCGCAGATCGGCGGCTGGCAAGGAAAGAGACGGAAACTGCTGGCCAGCACAAAAGATTTGACTTCCTTTCTCAACCAGCCAGTGGCCTCTTTTCGCTTTGTTCTCACTCTGAATGTCAACAGCGCCATCCCAGAAGCAACTCTTGTGTGCTGGAATCATTTGGGTGGCAACCTCGCCCACCCCAGGCTCCGCCTTCCTGGCCAGCGCCAGGTGTCTGGTCCCCTGGAAGCCAGCAAGGGCTTCACGCTGCCTTGCCCTCGCACTGTAGACAGCAGAGCTGGCCGTGGGCTGCCCACACCCAAGGCCACTGCCTCTGGCACAGCCCGGAGGCGGGGGCAGGCATCGCACTGGGCCTGTTGGGGGCGGCGAAGGGACTCACTGGCCCCTGCCCTTCTGTGCCTTTGGACTCTGCTGCCGTTACAGACGGCACGGAAGGATTAGGCAGCCGCTCAAGGAAATAGCAACCCAAATGCCTAGTGTGTGCAGTGGAAACTGCTGTTGTACCCAAGAATTCAAGAAGAAAAAAACAAGCATGTGTGTGCCACAAAGCGAAGCGAGGAGAGGGAGAGCGGGCAGCCAGGGCCCCAAGCTGTGCGGGACACTCGGCCGGATGTTCTGACCTGAGGTTGCGTCACATCCTGCACCGGAACAGGCTCCAACCTTGCGCCAGGGGAGGCCGGGCAGGAGGCAGGTGGGTGAGGCCCACAGCTGCCCGGTCCTCCTGCCACTCTCTCCTGAGCCTGGAGCACATGGGAGCCTGTGGGCCGGGGAGGGCTTTAAGCAAAGATGTCCAACAGCTCCTAGCAGATGGCATTCTAAGAACTGTTACTGGGGAAGGAAAGAGAGTCCCGCACTCCTTTACAAAGCGTAAGGAGTTTCTTGGAGTGAGCAGAGAGGGAAGGGCAGACCTGAAGAGTTCATAGAGTAAATCCACAAAGATAAAGAACCAAAAAAAATAGCAGCTTCTTTTTTTCTGTACAGACGTATAGATGAATATCTGAACCGTAAAAAAGTTATAAAAGTGACACTAAAGGTGATGCGTATGCAAATGTTTCATGGTCTAACATAGAACTGTAAGAGCCATGAGAAAGTCCCAGTAACAGCTCGGGTGGACAGAGCTGAGAAGGCCTGAGGCCAGCCCCTGGGAGTCCTGCTGGACCGTGCGGCCCCGGCTGGCAACCCTGCAGGTGCCCAGTGGGCTCAGCAGGGGGCGTGGGGCCCACCTGTCCTCCAGCCTCTCTCAGACCACTTCTTCCAGCAAAGGCAGGCAGACACCTAAGTGAAGGGGCAAGGAGCTGGAACAGCCTCTCCCCAGCTGTGTGGCTGTGTGAGGGGGGAAGGCCCCATTTTGTCCACTTCCCTCAGATGAACAACCTGGTCCCCAAAAGCAAACCTGTGTGGAAGGCTGGAGACGAGGGAGGCACATGGGCAGGGGCACGACCTTGGCTGGGGGCTCTGGTCCCGTGCCTCCGGAGAGGGGTGACGAGGAGACCCGGGAGGGTTTTGGCAAAATTTGGCAGCATAGAAATGGTGAACCACCATGAATGGACGATGGCCCTTTCAGAACTTTCCGATGCCCCCGTGAAGGTTACAGATGCAGTTAATGACTGTCTCAGCGAATTCGGATGCTGACCTACAGTGTCCAGCAGGTGCACCCAGGCTATTACCTGGGCCCCTGGGGACCCTGGGACTGCCACAGCCTCAATCCCGCAACAAGGGCTTCCCAGCCAGGCTTTTCCATGATGAAGCAGAGAAAGAGCGAGAACGCACGAGAAGAGAGAGAGGAGGAGAAAAAGAGAGGCGACAGAGGGAAGCGAGGGGCTTGGTTCTCAAGTGATCTGTTGCTATGACGTGCTGTCGTCACTAAGTTTCTTAAAGGCCCGTGTCAGTTAAGGGTTTGGGTGGGGAAATAAAAAGCTGGTTGCATATAGAAAAAAGGAACATCCCAAACGTTTGTTTAGTGTGGAGAAGCGCCTCCGGAGCGCAGCAGCACAGTCCTGCCCACTGAGGTGCAGGAGGCCTGCGTGCCGGCTGCCGGCGCTCTCCGCCCCGCCCCACCGCGGCAGGCATGCACCTGCCACGCTGGGACGGGACCTGGCCCCATCAGCAGGTGGAGGACTGGGGCAGCGGCAGGGCCCGCTCATCGGTGCGGCCCCCATTCATGTGCGAGTAGGGCCGTCGCCGCTGCTCCTCGCAGCTGGCGCAGAGGACCATGGCCCCCAGCCCCGGCCCGTTCTCGGGCTTGTGTCGGTCGGGCAGCGGTATGCCGAGGGCGGCCACGGCGGCGGCGGCGGCGGCAGAGGGGTCCAGGGGCACGCTCTCCATGTCTTCGGGCTCCAGCTCCAGCTCGTCGTCCTCGTCCTCGACCTCGGCCTCGGCCTGGGCTTGGGCCTGGGCCAGGGCCAGGGCCTCGGCCTCGGCCTCAGCCTCAGGCGCCTTGTTGTCGTCGCTGTAGTAGAAGGAGACCTCACGGAAGCCGGGCTCGAGCTCGTCCTTGACGCTTCCAAGGATATCCAGGAAGGAAGGCCGCATCTTGGGGTTGTACTGCCAGCACATGCGCATCAGCTCAAACCTGCGGTGGAGAGAGAGCGGGGGCGGAGCCCCAGCGTGAGGCCCCTCCCACCATCTCCCATCTCAGGACATGCACTGCCGGGGAAGACCCATGCCCCGATTGCCCGAAACACACAAACCTGGGCCCACTAAGACCACCCTCATCATGGGTATCGTTTTCGGTATCTGAGTTAAGAAATGAGAACCTGCGGCCCGCCTGCAGCAGGAAACCCCCAGATCCTCACCGACAAGGCTCAGGAGCTTCCCCAACCCTGGTCCTCCTTTGAGTTCCACACTTCCTGGGGGCAGGGGCACCCCTGGCAGAAGACCTGAGGCAGGGCAGGGCAGCACAGCCAGACAGAAGGAGCAGACATCCATCCAGCTGCCTGTCTCCATCTAGCACCTGCTGACTTTGCCCACAGTCCCAGGGATGCTGACCACTGTTTGAGCCTGACTCCCCCAAACCAGCCAGTTGGCACCTCGGTAAGCACAGGCAGAAAAGAGTGTGAGGTTTGTGCTGGGCCCTGGTCACCACCTCTGTGAAGCCCTCAGAGTATCCCCTAGATCGTCAGCTGAACCATGCAGGTGAGAGAAGAAACAGAGCAGCCCTGTGTCCGGGCTCGCACATGGCCTTGAGGGCATCCAGGATGCAGACAGGACCAGGGCAGTGAGCCTGTGTGCAAAAGGAGGGTCTGCAGTGGGGAAACGGCTCCTGTGCTCACAGGCCAGCTCACTCTTCTAACACCAATGGCCCTTGGGAATCTGCCCCCTTGCCTCCAACCCCTCCTGCAGATGTTCAGCCCCAGGGGTACAGTTCAGGAGAGGGTCCTGATGGCATGGATACAGTCAGGTGCCAACACAAACAGGGGCGTTTCCCCAGGCTGTGTGACAGGAGCTGCCCTGCCTTGACTGTCCCTCAAGGAAGCAAACAATACCCACAGCTGGAACCTTCCTGCACGTCCCTTAACTCCACCCCATCTTCCATGAATCCAGAGTTCTGAAACACAGCTGCCAACTGTGTCTTGGAAACACTGCACACCTCAGTGCCATTGGGACCAGAGCAGGGTCCCTAGAATCAGCCCACCCCCTGAGGCCCTTATGACAGTGGGATTAACTGAGAAGAAATCCAGCGAGACTGGGGAGTCCCGGGGACACATACAGCATGTCGGGGCAGTTGTCCGGCTTGTCCAGTAGGCCACCCTCCATGACAAAACGCAGGACCTGCTCGTTGGAGAAACCCTGGTATGGCTGCTCGGCCAGCGTAGCAATCTCCCAGAGCACGACTCCGAAGGACCTGTGGGGAGACATGTGACATCAGGAGCATGTCCTGCTGGCATCCCCTGTTCCTCAGCCATTAGACTGGGGCCCCTCTGTGGTGGCAAGCCAGGGTCTGGGCTGAGCATGGGGTGGTGGGCCTTCCCTGTGGCCACATGCAGCACCCCTGGAACAGCTGCAGCCCTGGAATAGTGCTGAGGGCTGCTGGGCACGTCTGAGAAGCATCTGCTCTGACCAGACACTGGGGTCAGCCACAGAGACCCTAGAGGACGGCCATCTCCCACACTTGTCCCAGTCCAGGAGCACTCAGATGCAGAGCCCCAGCCACAGCACCAAATGGGGCCTAAGACAGGGAGGCCTTTGAAGAAGCTTGGGTGATTCTTATTTTCAGATGCTCTGGAAGTTTCTACCAGGTGATTTCTGGTGAGAACTATCTCCGAGGGAGATTTTCAAAAGAATGAATATCCAAGGTGGCGGGGCACAAATAGACACCTGGAGTGTTTCCGAGCTCTATGGGGTCCTGCCGCCCAGGAGGATCCTCCTCCCCCACAGGAAAGCCAGCCCCGCGGGAGGAGGGACAGGCCACTGGTAGGCAGGGCAGTGGGAAACTAGGCTCCTGCAAAGCCAATTAAAACGGATGCTGCAGGAGCACATGAATTCCAGATCCGATGTGGGCAAGAAAAGCAAGTTGGAAATCCAAGTGCTTTTCTAGGATGGACACCCAGGCTCCCCTGGACTTCCTACTCTGCCTCCTCTTGCTCACTCTTCTGAGCGAGCTCATACCCACCCAAGCTCTGGGAGCACATCCATGCCCGGAGCCTGGGGGCTCTGGGCTCTGTCTTGGCTCCTGCTCTGTCCACTGCAGTGAAGAGGGTTTGTAAATGATGCTAACTGCAAGTGTCAGGAGAACTGACCAAGCCTAGGTCCTCCCTAATGCCATGGATGAAGAAATTACCTTGTTGCACAAGGTACCCAGAAAAGCTGCAGGCCAAGGTCAGGGACTGGCTCTCGGAGACTGCCTCCCCAGACGACCTGTCACATCAGTACCACCCTCACCTCTCCATGCTGAGCATCAGGTCTGCAACACACGGGGTCCTGGAGCCACAAGCTGTTTGCTGCCCTCAAGCTGGTCTGGCCTGTGGAGTGGGCCCCCTTCCCTCACCCTGCACGCTCACCCAGGCTGTGCCTCTGGCTCACCCACAGCACCTGGCCCTTGCAGTCCCCAGCTGCTGCTCTCCAAGTTCTCCGCTCTTACGTATCTTACATTCTACCTCCCATCCTGTCCCCATTGAAGACAATGGCCTGTGCCACCCCCAAGCAGTCCACCTGCTGCCATGTGGTCTCCTTGGGGTCCTACCCCCACTTGTTTACCCACCCAAGTGTCTACAATGCTGTAGGATGACCACAAGGCTTTCTGAGGCATAAAGATGGCACTGATCATTCTGCTGTGAGGCACAAGCCCACTGTGAAAACAGAGCTCCTACTTGGAGCTGCAAAAGCAAGCTCACTCTGCTGGGTCATATTCAGCCACCATCTCCAATCTGCACCTGTCTTCAAAATGAGATCCCAGGCCCCTGAACTGTGCAAGGGTCATGAGTGTCCACTCCGGAAATAGTTCCTGTGTGTGGTCATCCAGACAGCTGGTGTAAACAAGCACCAACTCCATGCCGGCACAGCCATGCGATCTCCTACGAGGACAGCCAGGACATCCGTTGATATTCTAGGAGGTGGATGCACCCAGGCCTGGCTTGCCAACAGCCCAGCTGGGTTTCAGAATCTACCCACCTCTTTACAATGAAGTCATGGTGCCACAACCAACACTGCCCGAAGCCTCAGCAGCCCTGGGCAGACCAGTTTCCACCACAAGACACCGATGACCAAGGGAGGCGCTCTGTTTCCCACAAGCATCCCTGGGTTAATCACAATGGAGACCCACAGGAAAACGCAATCCAGGCCCCCAAGCTTCAGTCTAAATGAGGCACCATCTACAATCTGAAGGTTACACTGAGACACACACACTCAAGGATATATCTGCTGAGGAGGAGGAGATGACAGTGGGCAAGGAGGGGGAAGACACAGAGGGGGTGAAAGGGCTCTGGCATGGCCAGAGGACATGCTGCCACAGTCACCGGGCCTGGGGTGGGAGCCCCAGGAGGGTCACATACCAGACATCAGAGTGGGTAGTGAAGACTCCATCCTTGAGGGACTCGGGGGACATCCAGCGCACGGGCAGCAGGCCCTTCCCTCCTTTGCGGTAATAGTCAGTCTCGTAGATGTCTCGTGTCATGCCAAAGTCTGCAAGGGGAGAGAGAAGGCATGGAGGCGCTGCCCCGCCGGCCCCTGGATGTCACTTAGGCATGTTCTCCAGATGTGACCAGACAAACAAGAGAACAGGGACTGCTCTGCACGGAAGCCCGGCCCCACGGGAGACAAAAGCAGTCGTTTTAGCGAGTGGTAAGTGGGAGAACACCCCAGGAACAGTTCACAGTCCCCGGAAGATGCTGTTCACTGCATTCCTCACAGGTTCCAACTCCCTCTGGAAGCCTTCAGAATGTCACGGACTCTGTCTACTGGCTTTGTGGTCCTGAGCGATTAGCCCTCTGTCAGAGTCCCATCATCCAGGCAGTCAAGCTTGGCTTACAAGTACACTGCATTTTTCTTCTCAGAGCAAAGTGTTGCTCTCTTCTTTCCAGAAAAATGCATGCCTTCTCTACTGTGTGCCTCACAGAGGCGAGGCTATGAGCCAAAGCAGCCAAACACTGTTGCCTCAGATGGTGCCGCGGGGCTGCCTGTAATCCATGACCCTGCGCATGCAGCAATCACTGCTGTGAGCCCTGGAGGAATGCAGAAATGAAGCACCTCTGAGCTAAGCCAGTGTGACAGGTGCAAGTGAGGGAATCTGATTTACCAACACACAAGGTGGAAGGGATGACTACCATTTCCTGAACCCCAAAGGGGGGAAAACATTGAACTCTAGAAAGAAAAACCCCAGTTACAAAGAAAGCATTGCTGTAAACACAGTGTACCATGAACAGCAAGTGCAACGATGGCTGACCTGGATTTACAGGGCAGGCAGCACAAAAACATCTCCTCTGCTGCGAGATGGAGGGCAGCAACCAGCTGGCGAGCTCTGACTGTACACCAGCCACAGGTTTGCTGGGGGCTGCCCATATTGGGAACTTGCTGGGCCCCTCCCTGGAGGGGTCCTTCTGAGGCTCCTCTGTTACATTGTCTGTTACATTGTCATCCACTTTCAGAGGTGGAGAAAGAATTGAATTGAAGCCCCAGGTCTCTCATCTCTCAGTGGTAGGACTGGAACCGAAGCCCAGGCCTGCCTGAGCTCTCCAGTCTCTGAGTCCCCAGCTAAAAGTGAGAATTGGGGGATCGGGAGGGTAAGTAAAACAGGTGGGGACCTCTGAGACAGCCCAGCCTCTGGTGCTCCCTCTGCTTCCCTCTGGGGCACCCAGCAAAGCCAGGATTTGAGGGGCATCCAGCATAAGGTTGCCTTAGGGTCCAAGCTGGGGCCCTGCCTGAGTGTTCAGGATGAGAGCACAGTGCTGCTCTGTGATGGTGGCAGCGGCCCCAGCCCCTGCAGATGGAGAATATATTCACCCCAGCTCTGGAAACCTCTCCAGAGGGGACACTCACCGTTTTCTAAAGGAAAAAAAAAAAACATGTCAAGTGGAGTTGGACCGAGCGCTTCCAGATGGACAGGTCATGAGCCAGACAGTGGGTGATCTCAGGTGGTCTCCTTGGATTGTCACCAACAGTCCTGATAAGGACAGCTGGCTCCCTAGGCAACTGTGACATCACCTGTGCCTTTACTAGGCAACTGAAAGGGCCGAATTCACCCCCTTCCCAGGGAGGAAGTTGGGTGGAATGGATGTGTGTATGTTTGTGAACAATGGGTGGCAACCATGAGTCTGACCAATAGGCTGGCCAGCTGCAGTTGGGACAGCAAGTGCTGGAACAGAGTGGTCAAGGGCTTGGAGGCTGACCAGCTGTGGGTGTGAGGCACAGAGAACTGAGGGACTGCCGTGCCTGTCCCAGTCAGTGCACCCGCCTGGTGCTGGCACTTCATCAGGGCCCTTCACCTCACAGGCTATTGGGCAAATGCTCAGAGTAGGGTGGGTCAGGGGGAATGAAAGAGAATGCTCCTTAGGGGCCAGAGAAACAGGGAGTTCCCACCTTGGTAGCTTTGATATTGCCTTGATGACTTCTGTCCCTACACTCAGATCTGTTCTACCAAAACTGCCTCGAAGGCTAGGAGAGGTGACATCACGGTCCATGGCCTGGGCTCCTCCCTGCTCACTGCCTGCGGTGTGGTGTCCACAGGCTTCCAGGATCACAGGCAGCCTGACCAGACCTGGCTGCCAACTGGGGGTGCTCACACACACTGCTCCCAAAGACATGTCTACATGCAGGTCATGTAGGGGAAGCCATGAGCTCAGCTCTGGAGAGCCGAGGGCAGGACGTACCTCCGATCTTGACGGTGAAGTCCTCGGCCACCATGCAGTTCCGAGCAGCCAGGTCTCTGTGGACGAACTTGTTGGCGTTGAGGTACGCCATGCCATCTGCGATCTCGCCCGCCATCTGGATCATCTTGCTCAGGCTCGGGGGGGCAAAGGCTGGGTTGTTCTGTAGGAGATTTAAGAAACATGTGAGAATTCAGGGACTGCTTTCCCACCTCTAGTCCTTTCAGGGTTTGTGACTCCATCTTGTTTCCATCTCAGCTCCAGGGGCCAGCCTGCTAAGAGAGCAGGGCTCGCAGGGCAGGGGAGAGGGGGCACACATCCTTAAAAGACCACAGCATCAACTTGCCAGAAAAGCCACATGCTCACTGCCTGGCCACATCATACACAAGCCACGAAGGAAACACTGATTTGCATGACTCAGGATTTTCCACATTGGGTAGAGCAAAAATTACTGAAAGCAGAACAATTACTCATACTAAGGCTTCTGCATCCCTTTTACTTAAGGACCAGAGCGCAGGTGGGAGGACATCAAGTAGCAGCTGTGCGGAAACCAGCAGGTGTGAGCCCACAGCGTGCTGTGCACTTCCTGTGCCTCGTAAGCACGGAGGTACTTCGTGCCTTCTCCTGTCCCCTTTGCTTTCTTCTACAGTACCAAACACACCAAGGCTATGTTTGTGCCACAGAACGCAGTGATTCCTAGGTTGTTACCACTGTGGGTGCAGCTGAGGCTGGTATGCAGGGACCAGCCCCGTGCGCAGGTACATCCTGTCTGCAGAGGAGGGCTATAAACCTACTTAGGAACAGAAGGGAATCTCCCCAATGACAACAAGTCATGAAAGAGTTCCTTGCATGTGCTGGGATCCCACATGGGCACTGGTTCTAATCCCGGCAGCCCCGCTTCCCATCCAGCTCCCTGCTTGTGGCTTGGGAAAGCAGTCAAGGATGGCCCAAAGTCTTGGGCCCCTCTACTCACTTGGGAGACCTGAAGGAAGCTCCCAGCTTCTGGCTTCAGATTGGCTCAGCCCTGGCCACTGTGGCCATTTGGGGAGTGAACCAGCAGACAGAGGATCTTTCTCTCGGTCTCTCCTACTCTCTCTAAATCTGACTTCCAAATAAAAACAATAAATAAATGTAAAAAAAACCACCCAAGCCCAGAGCAAATGTTGTGGCATAGCAGGTGTAGTGGCCACTGTGACACTGGTATCCCACATGGGTGCCAGGTTGTATACTGGCTACTCCACTTCTGATCCAACCTCATGCTAATGGCTTGGGAAAAGCAGCGGAAGCTGGCTCAAGTGGTGCCCCGGTGCCCATGTGGGAGACCCAGATGGAGCTCCTGGCCTTGGCCTGGTCCAGCTCTGGCTGTTGTGGCCATTTGTGGAGTGAACCATCTGGGAGCAAATAGAAGACACATCTCCCGGTAACTCTACCTTTCAAATCAATCAATCTCAGAAAAAGAAAAGCCTACACACAAGATCAAGTCCCTGTATCCTAAAAACAAACAAAAATTAGTGTAGAGTGTAACCATCATGACTCCACAGTCTAAATGTTAATGTGTGTCCCTGGCTTTCCACACAGGCCATCTCGCTTGGTCAGGTCCTTCCTGTCCCCTTGCAGCTCACAGCCCACAAGCCACAGGACAGGCAAGCCTTGCCATGGGGCCACAGTCTCCGAGCTCCTGTCCAGGATCTTCCATGAAAGATCCTTGAGACATGAATCATCGGAAGATGACCTGAGACCAGACACAGCGAGAGCCCAGTGGTGCCTGGGACAGGGTCAAGGTCCAAACATGCTGGTCCTTGCCCAGGGAGACCACCATGACTACCTCTGGAGACTCAAAATCTTGTCACTCATTTATCTCAGAGCAAATCAAAATCACTTCTTTTGCATGCTCCTTCTCCATAGGACTGAATCTGTCCTTTTCTTGCTTGAACTGTGCCTCGTAATGGGGAACAGTGCAGCGAGATGTAAAGTTTATGCCTGTAATACTTAGTGCTATAGTACGGCATCCAGGCGGTTCCCAGGAAGTGGTGGCTCCCAATGAAGATAAAAACCAGATTCAGTCAAAGGAACTGCATTTTAGACATTAAGAGAAAGGGCTGACGTCCTGTTGGTTCCCAGAGTGACACCGCCTGCGATGACTCCTCCTTCACTCAACGGTGACAGCAGAAAGCACTCAGGTGGTCAGTTACTGAAGACAAGCACCCACATGCACATTCACCTGTCCAGGTAAACAGGCCAGGGAGAGCGGGATGAAACCACAGGACTGGGATGCAGGGCTTTCCACTTCTCAAACGGAAAGGTGAACTTCAGCCCTAACAGGGATGTTAGTAATCACCTTGTCTGAGGCTCAGACACCTGCCGGGGTCATCCGAGGAGATCAAGACCACGAGGCCTGAGGCTCCTTCTGTGCCCAACGCTGGTGAGGAAGGGACAAGGACGTCATGCTTCCCAGGGACACCGGGAAGAAACAGTCTGTCTCTCCTCTAGTTACAAATCTGATCGGGCTTGTGCCTCCGTTAAGAGGGCTTGTGTGTTAAAGTGAGCCAGCAAAAGGCACAAAACCCAGGGGCACTGGGGACGCACACTGGGCGGCATGGCATTAGAAGCCGCCTGCCCAGAGCCCTGGTCAAGACTTGGCCTCATAGCTCACACGTAACCCCAGACACCATATGCTATAAACACATGAAGTCATCTGTGAACAGGTGGTTAGAACTAAAATTAAGGAGCAGCCTCTTGAGACGATTAGGTTGCAGATTATAAGAAAACAACCACAAAATCAACAGAACGGCAACAGAAACCCAAACGGGGGTAGACAGAACAGGAAGTCACTGCTTCCAGGCACCGTAAGCAGGCACACCGCTTACCCTACAAGGAGCAAAGCCAGGGCCAGGGCCAGAGTAGGGACCGCCAGACCCACCGAGGCAGCCACATGTCAAGGCAAGTCTTGCTGGAAGTATGTCTCTGCATCTGTCTACCAGTTTGTTCTTAGAATGAGCGACTGACAAGTCATGCCTCCACACGCTCACAGGCTGGCTGGTGGGGTCATGCTACGAAGAGGGCGACATCACAGTGACTCACGAGAAACTGCACGGGGCTCATTAGCTGGCTCACAACCCCAACAGCAACGGTCACTCCACTGGGCGGAGATCCACGGCCCCAGGCAGTTTATTGTTCAAAAAGCACAAGTGGGACACTGACTGCCCAAGAATGAAGCATGGACAGGGGACATGGAGCTGGATCGATGGAGTCTGTCAAGGCTCTCAAGGCACAGATTGTTGGTAGTGCAAAAGAAGGGAGTGTGTGCAGGAAGCCAGTCACCTAACAGACCTCTGACACACTGGGCCTTGCAGGCAAAGGTGGACAGACAGGGACACACTCCTAAGTCCATGAGAATCAGAGGATGTGAGGAGCTGGGTCTCTGGGGGTGGGGAAAGGAGTGGCCACTGAGGGACCACGGTCACAGGGCACAGCAGTGCCTGTGCAGCGGGCGATCTGCACAAAGACAAGTGGCCTTCCTGTTGGTCAGGTCCACCCCTACTTGGGAAATGACCCTCGTAAAGGCCCCTGCTGTGGAGAATGCAGCAGGCAACATGAACGGCTGACACACGGGTGGAAAGACCCAATAGTTTCCTGTAGGGACAGGGTGGGGCTGAGGCCAGGAGAACACACCAGGTGACACGCAACGCTGGGGACACTCCAGACTGACCTCTATTTCCGGTCGCAGAGACCTGAGATAGCTTTTGAGGTCTCCTCGTGTCATCAGCTCCATGATGACCAGTGTTGGCTGGCCCTGAGACACCACACCCAGCAACCGCACCTAGGAGGAATCAAGAGAGGTGATGAGAGGGTGAGGGTGGGGGCCTGGAGCCTAAACACAGCCCAGCTGAGATCGAGCCTCCACCGATCGGCATCCACCCCATCCAGAAACATCCTGCACACAGGGGTCTGCAGTTAACAGTAGAATGCTGGGAGAAAGGTCTGGAAGAGGGAAGGCGAGGTGCTATCCTGGGCTGGATGGTGGCTTCTTGGGGACTGTCCCTTACCACGTGGTGACAATTGAACTCCTTCATGACGGAAGCCTCATTGAGAAATTCAATCCTTTCCCGCATGCTGGCAGCCTCGTTCACAGTCTTGATGGCCACCCTGGTCTCGGGCTCATCCTTGACCACGCCTTTGGCGACACCTTCGTAGACCATCCCGAAGGAGCCCTGCCCCAGCTCTCGGTTCATGGTGATCTTATCGCGTGCGACCTCCCACTCATCAGGGATATACACTGCAGGAGAAACCAAAGGGGAGCCATGCGTGGGGTTCAGCTCGCAGGCACAAGGCAGCTCTGAGGGGGAAAGGGAAAACTGGAACTCCCAGGAATACAAAATGACCACTAGGGGGAGGGCAGAATTTAGCTTCCTAAACTCTCAAAGACATTTAAATCCCAAAGTATTACCATGACAGCTATTGTGGCATCTGGGTAGTGGGCCAGGCAGCAGGTAGCCAGGTTGCTAGGGCAATGGGTTCTCATGATGGTCAACTGGGAACAGGCCGAGCTCCCCATCCTGCTATGGGATTGTGCCTCTGCCTCCTTCTGGTCTCACCCAGGACCCAATGTGGCCGCCTGATCTCCAGGAGGCTGTGGAACCTCTCCAGCTGTGAGCCACGATAAAGCTGCCTTCCCTGAAATGTTAGGCTGATGCAGGTGTTTTGTGAATCTCACGAGTAGCTATCTGTGTCATTTCCTCTACTGATGTTTCTCCGCTTACGGAAGCCACCGGGTTTGGGGAGAAAAGCAAATGATAGGGGATGGAGAAACAGTGAGATGGTCATAGCAGGAGTCCCAGGTTTCGATCTTGTTTAGTCTTGTCCATCAATAAACTAGAATGTGAATCGGGAGAAGGGAGGAGTGTGGGGAGCGGGAAGAGACTTTACTCTGGATCAGGAAAGAGGTCCCAGGAATGAACAGATAATTGTGGTGCACAGGAGGACCTACTTCCTGGATGAACCCAAACTAGGGGTCCGGGTCCTCAGCACAGACTTTGGCTCTGAACTATCGGACCTGGTGATGGACTCTGCATTTGGTCACTGAGCATCTGAGTACGGCTGAGCCAATCTGAGTTATAAAACACATCAGAAATCCAAAGATGCAGTGTCAAAAAACACCCCAGAAAGCACAGTTAGTGATTTCTATACTGAGCTCAGGTTAAAACTCTATTTTGGATGAATAGGGTTTAATAAAACAGCGACAACATTCATTTGGGAGCTGGTACTGTGGCCTCCACTGGTAAGCCTTCATCTGCAGTGCTGCCATCCCTTATGGACGCTGGTTCGAGTCCTAGTGGCTTTGCTTCTGACCCAGCACCCTGCTAACGCCTGGGAGAGCAGTGGAGGATGGTTCAAGCGTTTGGGCCCTGGCACCTACATAGGAGACCCAGAGGCAGCTCTTGGCTCCTGGCTCCCGATCGGCCTAGCTCTGGCTTGTGCACCATCTGGGGGAGTGAACCAGCAGATGGAGGATCTCTGTCTCTCCTTCTCTCTCTCTAACTTTGCCTTCAAATAAGAATACATACATTTTAAATTTATTTTATCTGTTTGATTTGCTTTTTTTTTTTTAAAGATTTATTTTTATTATTTTTTCATTGGAAAGGCGGATATACAGATAGGAGAGACAGAGAGAAAGATCCTCCGTCCGATGACTCACTCCCCAAGTGAGCGCAACGGGCCAATACTATGCCGATCCGAAGCCAGGAGCCTCCTCCGGGTCTCCCACGCGGGTGCAGGTTCCCAAAGCCTTGGGCCGTCCTCGACTGCCCTCCCAGGCCACAGGCAGGGAGCTGGAAGGGAAGCGGGGCTGCCGGGATTAGAACCGGCGCCCATATGGGATCCCGGGCGTGCAAGGCGAGGACCCCTAACCACTTGCGCCACCGCGCCGAGCCCTGTTTGATTTGCTTTTAAAAAAATATGGCTACAAGGATAGTCGAGTTTGCCAGTGAATGGCACACGGGTAGGACTGCTCTGGCTGAGCCAAAGCATCCCTCAGCCTTCTCTTGGAATTACTTTGCTGTGTGTCAGGAAGCTACAATCCATCTCCTTCACCCCTCGGAAGGTGCCCTGTGCTCTGGGGGTGAGCCGCGTGCAGGCCAGGTGTGTGTGCTGTGGGCAAACAAGGCTCTACGCACTCTGAACTGGCAGTGTTGAGGACAAGCAGCCTTACCGTGCCCGTCCAGAGCCCAGATGCACTCAATGAGGTGCCCAGTAACAACTCAGGGTGTGCCTGTTTCATTACAGAACCATGGCATGTTGCAAGAGCATTTGGGAGGACACAGAATTCGAATTCACGTCACCCCGAGATGTGAACGCATCAATGCTCTCTTTCTGCCTCCTGGACACTTTACAGCACAGCTGTAGATGCCAATGCCCACGGCGTGGTCTCGCTGCAGCCTTGGCGAGGGAAAGCTGTGGCCTCCCAGCAGCCCCTTCAGCCCATCGTCCGGGGCAGTCCCTTGCCTTGCTCGCTCACTTGCTGCTATTACACAACAATCCATCTGTATCTTGTTGCTGTTTTCACTTGTTAAAGGGAAAGATCCTCTCTGCAAGCCGGCCTGCATCTTCCAGAATGTTCTCTATGTACATACTGACATAGATAACCATGAAATGTGCACAGAGACCATGTCCTTATTATTCTTCAACTGATTCCCCTTCAGAGAAGGCCGCTTGTAACTGGCTTTATTATACAATTACTGCTTTAGAAATGACTAAACAAACTATAGTAAAACCATTCATAGTTATACAGTTTGCTTTTAAACTATGCAAGTATTTGCCGTTGTTCAGGATAATGATGTTTTATTTCACATCACCTGCCTATTCACTTTCACGTCACACACATGCTCATCAGATGACCAGAGCCTGGGCCTCCTCGAGCCAGCTCTCCTGGCTGCCTGTGGGACATCACAGCCCTTCTCCCCGGGGACTGTGTCACAGGGTTGGCCAGGAGCAGCAGGAAGAGCCGGCACTGTGTTACCAAGCACCTCACTTAGCTGGATGTTCTTGGCCAAGTTTCTTCTTGGAACTCATTTCCTAACCAGCAGAGGGGCATAAAAGAGATCACCAAAAAAGGGTGAAGGAGCAAAGGGGAGGTTTGCTAGAAAGTGCCGGCATGGCACTGGGTAGGGACACCACTGTACTGCTCCCCGCCCGAGCCCCTTACTCAGCAGACATGGAAAGTTTAGGTTTAAGCACGGTGGTCAGGAGGAGACAGCCTGTACAGCCCAGTCAAAACCTTCCTGGTCACTCAACCAGGGTACTAACTGAACAACGCTCAGCCAAGGGTGCTGACAGGCCTGGCCCACACAGCTGAGCAGGCCTGCTGGCCCAGGAGGGTGTGAGGTGGGTGAGCAGGCCTGCTGGTGTGAGCAGTGAGGAACTCTTCCGCATTACGTGGCAGGATGTCAAGAAATTCGGTAAACGGATCCCTGTGCTGGCCACACTCCTCTCTGGAGCCCATTTCTTCTCTACCATGACCCAGGGGGAGGTGAAGTTGAGGGATCCCCACACAGTCCCAGAGATGCTGACACACCTACTGATGCCGACTAGGGGGCCTTACCATCAGCTGCGCTGAAGTACTCCGGGTTCACAGAGGCATAGAGCACGCCGTTGCCCATTCTGGTACTAGTGATGGCAAAAGGGTGAAACTTAGTTTAAGGAAATCGCCACCTCCACACACATTCTGTATATCCAATCCTCTCTGCTCTTCCTGTCCCACGAGCTGCTGTGTCCCACCAGGCCCAGTGAGGGAGGGAAGAACAAGGTCCTTCTGCCAAGGGCACCCACCCACACCCACAGTCTGCAGCCCCCAGCTAGACCTGGGGACCAGCATCCACTGTGCACCTGTCGTTGGGCTTCTCTAGATCACAGCCTTTCAGGAAACATCAATTTTGGGACCTGGCTGGCGGCAAGGGCCAGGCTGACAGGGTGCTTGGGGCATGGAGCTGCGCTGAGGGGAGACTCGAGTGGGCCAGTGCTATAGACGGTTTGTTACATCATTAACAAATGGTGCCTTTTCCTGTGCTATGTGGCTGGAAAAGGCAGGCTTTCTGACCCCACTGTGGCTCCGCAGAAAGTTGAGCTCCGGGCAGGCAGCCTGCTCTCGTCAGATCCCGTGCCCCAGCGCCTGCCCAGGAGCGGCCACTCACCGCTTCCTGTGCAGGATGTACAGGAAGACCAGCAGCCCTCCCACGACGAACACGATGGCCACGGGCAGCACGACCGTCAGGTGCGAGTAGCCTTCGTCGGCAGCTGTGGATGAAGCAGAGTGCGTCACAGGCTCACTTTCAGAGTGCTGTCCAAAACGCAGACACCCTGCTCCCCGGAAAGCTCCCCTACTCCCTCGTCACATGGGAGACATGCCCTTGCCAAAGGCAAATTGTATCAGAAATAACTCCATACACTGAATTATCTGGATTTTTTTTAAGCTTAAATGCGGATATATTCCACTTTTTTTTAAAGCACAGAATATTCTGATGTTATGTTTCAAATGAAGAATAACCTTTGCTGGTAGTCTGACGGTGCTGAGCCTATTGAGAACACCGGGGCTAGCTCTTCAGCTCCGCTCTGGCTGTGGCAGCACGTGATGGCTCAGGTGGCTGAGACCCTGCGTGGGAGACTGAGTGCCCAGCTCTGAGCTCCGACTCCTGGCCCACAGTGATGGTGGGCATTAGCAGTGTCCAACAGATGAGGGCACTCTCTTTGCTTCTTAAATCCAAATAAATGAATGCCAAATTCTTATCAAATCCTTGTCAAAATTAACACTGGCTCCTGCACTTTTTTAACCACTGAAAATACGAGTTATTAGAGTTAAAGGGAGAGGAGTGGCAGCTGTTGCCTTGTTCCCCTGAGTGCCACTCATGCCTCCATCACTTAGACCATTGGTCAGGATGTACTGTGTCCTTTGCAAGTTGCACACTTCAACAGGACACAGAGAAACTGGAACACATCTGGAGAAGGACAAAAGGATGACACGCCCCTTTGCCGCTGTGAGACTAGCGTATAAGAGACCACACAACTAAAGATGATTTAATCCACAGAAGTGTAGTCTGAAGGGCAAATTGATTGGATGCAGGCACACGAAGTGTTCCTTAAATGGAGAGCTGCTGCCAGAACGCTGCTCAAGACCCCGTCTCCCCTGCGGATTAAACAACAGCCAACAGACCCTGCTGCCGCTCAAGAAACTTGTCTAAGGGAACTTCCCCACAGCTTCCATGCCCACGTGGCCCACATCAACATCTGCTGAGGGCACTCGGGCGTGCCACTGGCATCCTGGTACATCCTGGGGTCAAAGTGGAGTGGCCCATGGAGGCAGAGACATGGCATCTCTCCAGATCAGCCAAGGTCACTCAGCCTGGTGGACGGACAGGGCAGGGAGAGTCCTCCAGAGTCTCTGCCTACCCTGCAAACCCGACCGGCCCCAGGCACAGTGCTGGCAACAAAAAGTACCAGCTCAAGATGGCCTGTAGTCCTGCCCAGCCCCACCCTTCGACTGCCACTGCTTCAGCTGTTAAGACACAATGTGTGCTTTTTGGTACCTGGTGCCAATAAGCAGATCACTTAATTGGTATCACATTTATTTTCATTTGCAATAGAACCCAAATGCATTTATGTCATGTCATGCCACATACTATTCTGAAATATGTATATGTGTTTTTGGAATGATGCACCTAACCTAGTTAACATACATATTACCGCATAGAAGGATCATTTTTTTGTAATCAAAACACTTGAAATCTATTTGTAGTGACTGTTAAGGACACACTTTCCTTAACCAGTTCCTGCTGTCTAACTGGACTCACGTCGTCCTCAGCCCCTGGTGTGCACGGGCTCCTCTGCTGACATCAATGAATGAAATCACACGCTATGTTTATGGTATCTAACATAGGGTATCACATGGCCCAGTTTATTTCACTTCACATCCCGTTCTTCAGCGCTATCTGTGCTGTCCAGGGGACAGGACTCCCCTCCTTCTGGGGGGCATCTAGACCTTTCTTTGCTGGTTGCTGGTCCGTGGGCGGACATGATGAGGCCAGCTGTGTTTGCTAGGTGCAGGAACCTCTCTGCCACCCTGACTTTGTATCCAAGGGTGGGAGATTCCCCTGACATGGGCCTGCCACGACTTGTTCAGAGCATGGGGAGTGCAGATGCCAGGGAAGCCCTGCCCAGCAGGCCCTAAAGGACTAGTACTAAGCCAGGCTGGCTTGATGGTAGTGTGGAGAGCAGTAAGGAACGGGGTCAGGCCAAACCTGAGCAAAATACACAGGGATGAGATGATCTAAAAAAGAGAAAAGGTGGGTTTCTAATGAATAGAAACAGAAACTTGACGTGGAAATAATTTCACCAAATAAAAGACTAAATTTTCTTGGTTAAACAACTTCGTGGCCTGGGTTGTGCTCGTAAATTGTACAAAACTTGGCTGTACAACGTGGGTGAAATCGTCACAGAAAACTGACTTTCTAGCACTCCATTTCTGTCAACATTTTACCACAGATTTATATTACCCTGTGCAAAGCAGCGAGTACTGCTTGCCTGCAATGCCTGCTGGGACGGTCCAAGGAAATCCCTGCCCTGGAGCCGGCCAGACCAGAGGACCCTGGGACTGTGAGCCCTCAGTCAGCCCAACCCATGACGCTGAGTGTCAAGCAGCAGGTGATACAGCCAGCCTGAGAGCCAAGGTCTCTTCTGGTTCTCAGGACATGGTCTCACGCAGGCCTCCAACCCTTTGCCCTCCCCAACACCAGCTCCTGACAGCTGCCCAGTTCTCTTCCTGTGGGATTTCAGGGCTCTGCGTGACCCTGGCCTCCCCAGGGCTGGCACCGCCTCATTTTGGTTTCACTGTGCTCCTGTCTTACCTTTGTCTGGGACATAGAAGAACACAGGATCAGTCCATGACCCGTTCCCAGAGAGAGACGTGGCCTGAATCCGGGCTGTGTAGTTGCCGGGGTTTAGCCGGTTCAGTTTGATTCCCCCGTACTTCCGGTAGTGCTGTCTGGATATACACTCCCGCTGGTCCTGGGGGAAAGAAAATACACATGTCCCTCCCCCACAGCACTGGGGAAACCTGGGGCCTGCCAGGTGAATGTACCCTGACCCCAACGCCCAACCCCTTACCCCCACCTAACAAGAATCTAGAATAATCTTAGAAGGTCCTCCAGTAGCCTGAAGCACAACCAAATCTTTTTCTAAATAAGAAAGTCCAAAAGGATTAAAAGGTAGGAAGACTGATCTAGTCCAAATGGGAGACATGTGCCACAATGAAATAGTTTTTTTAACATAAATTATTTATTTGAAAGGCAGAACAGAAGGAACTAGACAGAGACATATCCGGAGATTAAACCAGAAAGAGCTAGCTTCCGTCTGCCGGTTCACCCCTCAAATGCCAGGGATATCCACAACTCCCAGGTGGATAGGTGGGAGGAACCCCAGAACCCAAGTCCTTGAGCCACCTTTGTTGCCCCCAAGGTCTGCACCAGCAGGCAGCTCAAGCTGGGAGTCAGAGGTAGGCACTGAATCCAAGGCACATCCAACCAGGACATGGGCATCCTGACCAGGGGCTGAACCGCTGGGCCACACACCTGTATGTCTCTTAAGAGTGACAGATGGCCTGGCTCCTGTGTGCTGCACCTGGAGCACGGAGCTGGGAGACAGACTTGTCCCCTCTCTCACTTCTGCTCACTTAAGCTAGCCAGGGTTAGACTGTGTTCATGTTCCTTCTGCTATCCGTCTGGTAAAAACATCTGCACACTGCACCACCACCAAGTCTTACCTCCATTAGAGAACCGTATTTGATCTCATACATCAGGATCAATCCGTTGGGATTCTCAGGTTCTGGCCACTTTAGAAAGACGGAGTTTTCAGGCTGTGCTTCCCAGGTCACTGGGCCGGGAATGTCATCTGCTCCTTCTGTGCAATTGAATGAATGACAAAGTCAGAGGCAGGTCCCCGGGGAGGGAACCAGGCACTGGGATGGTCAGAGGATACTTCCACGCCTTACTCCTTACATTCAGGCTGGGCCTGTACACAGCTCAGTTCACAGGCTCTCCCCGAGCCAGTCTGCCCCTGTCCAGCACAGGTGTAGGACTCAACCTACCTGGGGAGTTGCACAGCTCAAGATACCGTAACATCCTCTGTTTATCTGGACCCCACCAAGCACAGCAAGGAAGTCCTGGCAACCTACTCTTGCTTGCTTTATCCCCGAAAACAAAGCTGGACACAGCCATTGAGTGTGGCACCTCAACAAGCCTCTGCTGTCTGCGTCACAGTCACTGTGATTTGGCTTACACCAGGGGAGAGGGTGAGGGCTACGTGGACACCAGGGAGCTCTCCCCACTGCCAAGTGCTCCTTCAGCAGCACTGGCTCTTGCTTTTGCTTCCGAAGGCAGACAGCAAAGTAGCACGTTAAGGCCACAGACAATTACTGCTGAGACAGACACTGACAGATGGGCTGGGTCTCCTCGCTAGCGAGGCTGTGGGAAACCAAGACACAGGAGACCGGCAGCTAAGGCACAAAGCATACCAGCGCCCGCTCTGGCCACCTCACACTCTCTGTGCTGACACCTCCTCCAGGAACAGGAACTGCACAGTACACCCACTTTCCAAAGGGATGAGCAAAGACTGGCTGGGTCTGAGCAACAGTCAGTGTCTGATTTAGAACCAGCAGGACTGAAGGCCCTGGGAGTTGACCATGAGAAGGAATGATCGCTGTGAACTGAGGCAGCTAATGGGGCATTCTGCTGAATCTGGGAGAATTGGGGGCAGGGGGGAGGGAGGTGATTTTACCTGCAAACCAAATGGCAGATGCACCTGTGAACCAGGCAGGAGAGTGAATCCTGGAGGGTGCTCCCTGCACTGGAGCACTTTGTACAGAGGCACAGGGAGGGGTAACACCACCAGTCCAGCAGGGCTCTGTTCCCAGTGGGCTGCCTGCCCTGAATGCCACACCCCATACCCACCAACCACGACCCTCCCAGCCAGGCTGGGAGTGTGCCGGAAGGAGGGTGAGCTAGAACACACTGTACCTGCAGGTTTGGTTCTTGCAAAGACAAAGTTGGAGGCGCTGCACCCCAGTTTCTCGGCCTCGTGGTTACAACTGTGAATGTCGATGCGGTAGGAAGTGAACGGGCGGAGGTTGGATATCACTGTTATCTCCCTGTCCACTCTGCTCTCAAAGAAAGGGAAATCCGTCTCCGGCTCGTCGGGGTCCGTGGTGTTGTAGGAGTTCTCCGCCGTGGTGTTCCTGCCTCGGCCGGACGAGGCCATATCTGTCATGTGCACGACGTCCCTTCGCTTTCTCTCGGGCCTGCACGGGAGAGGAGCTGGCTTGTAGGCACCTGCCTCCTCTGCCCTTTCTGTGACTTGGAAGAGGGATCTGCCCCTTGGATAAAAACTAACAACTAACAAAGGGATTTCCTTCTACTCAGCTTGCCTTAATTTCTCTGCTCTACAACCTCAGACTCTCGTGGCAGTCACCGGACGACACCTGGAGGCAAGCCAGGCCTGGGTCACTAACCCGGCCACTAACCTGGTGGCTGTTTCATCAGATTGCTATGGCTCTGGTAGTGAAGCAAGAGCAAGGGCACACTCAGCTTTATCACAGGGGAGAGGGGTTCCCGGGGATGAAAAAGGAAGAAGAGCCCTGATTCCAGCCATCAGCACCAGCTTGGCCCCCCGGTCCTTCCTCTTGGGGACTCCTGCCTCTAGTCTGCGGCCATTCCAGCCTGGCTCTGCCACTCCAAAGCTTCTGGGAGAACCTCTGCCATGGATCTGAGCAGGCCGTGCACCAACAGCCACAGCATCAGCCAACACAGAAAAAAACAAATCCAAAAGGGTCATAGGGACTCCTGGGGAAAGGACACCCACACCCCAAAGGGCAGGGGAGGCGGCAGGAAGCTCTACCCAGACACTTTGAGAGCAGGCTTGGAACACTCCCAGGAAGCACCCAGAATTGAGGGACAGCAACTCCCAGGGTGACTCCTCTGACAAAGGCCATCTGTGATATCAACCTCCCATACAGCTGCAGGTTCGAGCTCCAGCTGCTCTACCTGCAATGCAGCTCCCTGCTGGTGCACCGTGGACGGCAGCGGATGACAGCCCAGGCAGTTAGACCCTGCCCCTGGTGTGGGATGCCTGGCTGCAGTTCCTGGCTCCTGGTCTGGCTCAGCCCTGGTCATTTCAGCCAGTTAGGGAGGTGAAATAAGAGTTCTCCCAGTCTCTGTGTCACTCCATCTTTCACATAAATGTTTGTTTTTTTAAATGAAATTGTTTGGGGCTCTATTTATATTATTAATTATTTCTAAATTATGAGCTGCATATAGAGACACACAGGGCTTCTAAGTTCTAGGTTACTCCCCAAATGCCTGTAACGAGGGCCAGGCTGACACTGGGAGCCAGGAACTTAATCTGGGTCTTTGACATAGCTGGCAGGGACCTCATAGGTGTAGCAGCAGGAAGATGGAACTAGGAACAGAGCTGCAACTTCCACCTGGGCTCTGGTACGGGATGTGGGCTTTCCCAGCAGCAGGTTCATTGCTGTGCCCACTGCCCAGCTCAGAAGCTATTTGGGCTTGATTTAATGCAATGTGATGCTGTATTGGCATTATTCCACAGCCTGTCACCTTAACCTGGGTCACAGCACCAAGCACACGCCGACGTCACCTGTAAACGCCACAGTTCTGGGGACTGCGCGGGTGTCACTGCTGACACCAAGTCAGGGGTCAGGACAGGAAGGTGGTGCAGGAGCAGCGGGAAGAGAAGCACTGGGCTGAGAAGGGGACCCTACCTGACCTCTGCTCTCTCTCACACTTGGACCAGCTCCCGTGGGAGGAGCCTTTGCTTTCCAGTATCTGTCAACATCCTGGCTCACAAAACTGAACTCAACAACATAAAGAACAAAGACAGCACTGGGCCCTTTCCAAATACATTAAAAATGTAGTTTTTAAATTGTTTGATTTAAAAGGTAGGGAGGAGAGGGGAGGGGCAAAGCGAGGGGAAGGCTTTGTCTTCCATCCGGTGCTTTCCTTCCCAGGCAGCTGCATAGCCAGGGCTGGTCCAGGCTGCAGCCCGGAGCCTGGGACTCCATTCACATCTCCCAGATGGGTGGTAGGCACCCAAGAACTTGGCCCATCTTAAGCTACTTTCCCAGGTGCATCAGCCAGGAGCTGGAGCAGAAGCCGAACAGCAGAGATGCCACCAGTGCTCCGATGTGGTAGCCAGTGTTGGTCTGCGCCACATGCCAGCCCTGACCATTTGGTTTAAAGCAGAGAGTGGACCTCACAGTGCAGCCTCTTATCTGCCTCCCTGCTATCTTTCTTCTCCTGCTCCGGTTATTGTTGGGTTCCCCTGCTGCATTTTCCTCCACTGTTTAAAACATGTGATTCTTTTTACTTTTTTTTAAATTACGTACGACAGAGTAAATCTGAAAAAATAAAAGTGCACATAACATACAGTCATGTTCACTGTATTCACAAGGCTGTGAAGTCATTGACACATTTCTGACTCCACACAGGAGCTTGGAGCTCCTGTGGGATGCGGTGAGACATGCTCCTCTTGTGTGCCTTGGCTCACTTGGTGCAGGAGTTTCACCTTGGCCCCTACTGGAGGAGACAAATCTCCTTCCTGGTTCTGCATGTTCTGGCACACTGTGTCCATCCACTCAACATGCGGATACCTGAGCCGTCCCAGCCTGGGCTACCATGGCCAGCACTGCTGGGAACATGTGCCACCCTCTGCTTCCACTCGCACTTTGCAGGACGTTCTCAGCGGACAAGCTCCCTGAGGCCAGGGCTGAGTTCCCCTGCAGGGCTGTCTTCTGCAATGCTGGTGCTTCCTGACCTGACTGAGGATGTGTGCCTGGAATATTCCAGCTTCTTCTCAATGGCCCCTGTGTTGTGTCCCACAGCCCCGCCCCGCCCCGTACCTGGGCACGAAGATGGAGTTGTGCAGGAAGTTCTCAAACACTTTGCGGTACTCCGCCTCCTCTTTCTCAGCCTGCTTCTCGGCTTCGGTTTTGGGGCAGGCACAGCACGGCCCCTTCTCCCCACCGCACACCTCCATCTTGGGATTCTCGGTTACTTCTTCAAAGTCGATCATGCCATCTGCGTACTTCCTCACGGGAATTTTATCTTCTGCACAGAGAGAAGAGGAGGCCCCAGTATGAAGTAAAGCGAGCCACACGCACACAGGTGCAAGCTGCCAGCACCTTGCCTTGAGAACACAGCTGGCTGCCAGCGGCGGCTCACACAGCATCTGCCCGGTACCTGCCCGGCCCACGTCCTCACCTTTGGAGCAGTAATTGTGTCGGTACAGGTAGGCGTCCTGAGGCTGCTGCTGCCATCTCACGATGTAGTAGCTCAGGTTGCCATTGGGCAGGGAGGGGGCGCTCCACTTCACGATCAGCTGAGAAGAGGAGTTCGATGCCGAAAGAATATCCAGGGGGACGGAAGGAACTGGAAAGGGAACAGAGGTGAAGGGAGGGACCTTCAGACTCTTGAATCCAACAGGAAGTTGTCAGGCTGGCCTGATGACAGAACACTGAGGGGGCTGAGCCCTTAGCGACATGCTTGAGGTGTCCCCTGAGATGCCCAGATCCCATATCAGTATGCCTAGTTCACTTCCAAACCCAACTTCCTGCTGATGCACAGCCTGGGAGACAGCTTGAGGGGCAGCCGAAAAACCTGGGTGCCTCCATCCATGTACCCATGACGGAGAGCCAAGATGCACTCTGCGCCCCTGACGTCGGCCTGGCCTACCTCTGGCTGTTGTGGGCACTTGGGGAAGTGAACTGGTGAATGGGAGATAATCTTTCTGTCTCTCCTCCTTTCATATACATAAAAATAAACAGTAATAACAAAGAAAGTAGCAATGAACAGGGAAACAGAAAATAGAAGCTCATTTTGCAAGAGCTCTAACTTAGCTGCCAGCATTTCCCTTCTTGACATCTACTGCTGGGCAACCACTGCAATGGCAAATGTCACAGAGCTGCAAGTGCGACAGAGGGACATGCTATGGTGAGAACCACGGCTTAGAACTGACACAATGTGCAAATACCCACTTCCTTTACTGCCTGCTACTGCCATTATCCAGGGCTCCAGCTTAGCACCAACAGGACACCGACCTACTTGGGTGTATATGAGATACAAATGACATAAAACCAGATAAAAAGGGAACAGGGTAATGGTGATGGTGATGGTGATGGTGGTGGTAGTGATGGTAGTGGTAGTGGTGATGATAGTGGTAGTGATGGTGGTGATGGTGGTGGTGGTGGTGGTAGTGATGGTGGTGGTGGTGGTGGTGGTAGTGATGGTGGTGATGGTGATGGTGATGATGGTGGTAATAATAGTGTTGGTAATGGTGGCAGTGATGGTGGTGGTGGTGGTGATAGTGGTGATGGTAGTGATGGTGGTGATGATAGTGGTAGTGACGGTGGTGATGCTGATGGTGGTGGTTGCAGCTCCTGGCTCCTGGGTGCAGACTGGCTCAGCTCTGGCCATTGTGGGCATTTAGGGAGTGAAGCAGTCCAGGGAAGACGTATCAGTGTGCTTTGTGAGCCTCTTCCTCTCTTTGCAACTCACATGTGGGGACTTGAAGCCCGCTGAGGGAAGGTACTTGGGAAAACGAATACTAGATGTGTAGCCACATGTTTTATAACCAGATTCTTCAGGGCAGCAGAGAATCAGGTCCTTCTGCAGCCTTAACTCTGGTCAGGGCAGTGGCCAGAATAAAGTGACCACGATCAGTTTGAGCAGTGCTTGGTTTTCCAGCTTTGTGGAAAGCAAATAGGTTACTTAAGACTCTGCTATAGGGAAATCTTTCTGAAGCTTGTTAGTATAAATTTTGGCAAAGTGTTACTTCTTTTCCCCTTTATTTTCGTATCTATTTGTATTTATCTGAGAGACACATGGGGGGTGGTGGTGACATAGACACACATCTTATATCTGCTGGCTCATTCCTCAAATGCTTGCAAATAGCTGAGGCTGGGCCAAGCTGAAGATAAAACTCAGGACTCAATCTGGGTCTCCCACATGAGTGACAGGGACCTATGTACATGAGCTGTTTTAGAGTGCAACCCAGAAGGAAGCTAGACTCACAGATCTGAGTCTCCATATGGGATGCAGGGATCCTAAATGACACCTTAGCCTCTGGGCCAAACGCCCAACCAAGATTTGCAGATTTTAAGATGGGAAACTTACTGTGTTGCACTTGCACATTTGCTACATCAATCTATGTCTGGCCTGGAAGCCTGTGCCAGATTCATTGCCATAGACACTCTACGTCAATGACATGGGACAGAGGCAGAGCAAACAGATAGGCCTGGGCAAAAGGGTTTCCCCATTATTTCTTTTCTTATCCTTTCCATCATTTAAATTTGCTTTGTGGAGTTTACAGAAGTTTATGAACACCCTTTTCATTATAATGCTGTCTCTTATTGTTACATTTAACCATGCCCCAAAATGAATGTATGGAAAACCTTAGCCCCAAGATGACTGGATTAAAAGGTAGAGCCTTGTGGCTGGCCTTGTGGTGTAGCACGTAAAGCTGCTATCTAGAATGCCTGAATCCCATATGGGCTCCAGTTAGTGCCCTGGCTACTCTACTTCCGGCCCAACTTCCTGCTAACACACCTGGGAAAGGAGAAGATGGTGGCCCTAGTGCTTTGGCCCCTGCACCCATGTGAGAGGCCAAGATGGAGTTTTCTGGCTCCAGCTTTGGCCTGGTCTAGCCCCGGCTGCTGTGGCTATCTGGGGAGTGAACCAGTGGGTGGAAGATCTGTCTCTGTGTCTCCCTTTCTCTAACTCTAATTTTCAAATCAATCAATCAATCAATCAATCAATCAATCTTTAAAATGAGAGGTGGGGCCTCTGGGAATGCTTAAGTCTTGAGCATTGGGTCCTCATGAAAGATTCCCCAGCGGTTTTCTGGTCTATCCTCTCAGCCATGTAAGGACATAGCACAAAGATGGCTGTCCCTGAACCAAGAAGCAAGCCCTCAACAGACACCACATCTTCAGGATCTTGGTCTTGGACAGCCCAGAATTATGAGAAATATGCTTCTGCAGTTGACAGACCAGCAGCCTATGGTAAGTCAGCCACAGAAGTGCAAATGGACTAGGGCAGTTAGTGTCTTCAAAAAAGCAACTACATCTTCCAACTCCTCAACTAGCTTTTAGACACCAGGAAATACATGTAAATACATGTAAATATCTCCTTTTCCTGCTCGCAGGTTCTGGAGCCGAGCAAGGAGGTGCTGTAGAACAGGAAGTTAAAGCAGCACTGAGTGTAGTACTCCAACCTTTGTTGACCTCCTAGGAACCCTTGTGGCTACTCAGTGGATACACAAAGCTGAGGAGCACAGGAAGCAAGCAGAACTGGCATATACATCATTTCACTTCCCATGGGATCCTGCATCAAAATAAACAAGTAGGATAGCCATGCAGGACTGTGCTATGGTTGGACCTTCCAAGAAAGCCAACCCACGACCTAGAGCAATCTCAGCCAATGGGCACAGAATAGAGAGACCAACGGAACATGGCATCAGGTTCAGAGACCAGCCCCATGTGCGTTTCTGATTTCCAGTTTCCTGCTAGTGTGTACCCAAGGAGGCATCAGACAATAGCTCGTGCGTCAGCCCCCTGCTGCTCTTGTGGGAGACCCAGGCTGAGTACCTCGCTCCTCTGTGGTGGGCATTTTGGGGAGTGAAGCAGAATAGAAGATCTCTGTCTTCATACCTTCCAGACAAACTTATTTTCAAACTTAGAAATACAAAAACATGATACGTATCTCTCAGCCCTGCACCTCTATCTACTCCAGCCAATGAGTTGTAATGAGCTCCAGACAGCAGCATGGGATGCTGGGGCTCGGCCGGTGCACAGATACCTGAAGCATTGGTGCGAACGTATAAGATGTCACTCTTGGCCCCACGGATGTGGTCGTTTTCCACCATGGTGAGGGTCACGGCTTTGACATAGATGGCATACTGAGTCCAGGGCTTCAGCCCCTGCAGTAGGATGCCGGGCTCTGTGTCCTTGTCAGGGGGGAGGTCCACGTCCACCATGTTCCAGCTGTTGGAGCCACAGGCGTCCTGCCCATCATATTCCGTCACGTTTTTATGGGGTCTGAAAGACAAGCAGCAACACTCAGGCAATATCATGGGGGTGGCAGGACGAAGCTCATGCTGAGCCTTTCCCAGGGCCTTTGCATGTCCCAGTTTCTACCATGGGAATTCTAAGGAAAACAGCCTATCAGATCTGCACGGAAGGGTACACCTAAGTTGCTGGACTCCAGGCTTGCCCAGAGTCACACCCAGGGCTGTCCCTCAAGGAGACGATGTCCTGTTCCCATTGGGACTGACAGCACGCAGATGTTCATTTCCCCTCCCAAGAAAAAGACAAGCATGGCCACCAAATGCAAATTTTAGTGGCTGATAAGGAAAAGCTTTTAAAGAAAAATGATGGTCCTGCAAAACGAAACAAAACAGAAGTATCACTTTAAAAAGTTGCACACTAACAATTCTGATACAGACAACTTATTTGTCAGATATTCAGTCCCAGATTGCCTTGGGTAATTAGCGTCTGCTCCTCGCTGACATTATCAGCAGGCATCGCTGGAGCCCTGGCAGGACTCTCAAAAAGAACACAGAATTCTACACAGATGCATGTGCAGGTGCATAATCTACACTCCACAGACACAAGGCCTGGACACTTACTGGCCCCGCGGAGCTGCGATCAGTTCAGTATCACGCTGCCTGCCATTAGCATGGGACAGCAGGAGTGGCTGGGTGCAGGGACACTGGAGCTTCTCACTCTTCAAGCCCTTCCCAGGACTCCAACTTCAGAGGGGAGAAGGGCACCAGAAGCCAACACGGGGCTTCCCAGTCCTACGCACAGGAAGCTGACTACCTAAGAAGGGGACCTTTGGCATTAAGATGGGACTTGGATGAAGAGGCTGACTGTGTGGCTGGGGGAAACACAGAAGTACAGGGAGGAGGAGGGAGGCCAGTGAGAGCTGCAGCCAGGCAACGGCCAGGGCGGGTGACCAGCAGTGGACGGCACATGACAAGGTCATGGCAGATCCTAGCGGGAGCCATGAGAGCCTGGAGACAGCAAACCAGGTCACTCTCCTCCTTCTCTGCCCTGGAGCCCTCATGACTGAGAGGTCTGTGGACAACAGGACAGGACAGAGACCACCAACCTGCCCACGGTCACCTCAAAGACAGCTGGGCAACCTGTGGAGGACTCCTGGACACAAAGGTTGAGATTCTATTTCAGCCATGCCCCCCATCACAGCTTACGACAATTTTCTCCAAGTATCTAAGCTGTCTCCCTTTGGGCTCAATGTATTTAGAAATCTCTTAATTACACAAATAATGAAAGGCCTCAAGGTAACGTTAACAGGCACAACTGGCCTCGAGCTAATGCTGTAGTAGTAGAGTCTGGGACAGGGGCAGGAGCAAGCGGGGATGCTCAGCCTGGCTCTCCCTTGCACCCAGCCAACAGGTGCAGTGAACAAAAGACCAGCCGCACCTGGTCCCAACCCTGCCCACAGAGCAATGTCACCAAACGCAGACACTCACGCCTCCTTGTAGTAGACGGTGAAGCTGATGAGATCCCTGTAGTCCGGGGGCCGGTAGCGGTGCCAGGTGAGAATGATGCGGTTCTTACCAGTGGCAGTGTTGGTGAAGTGCAGGATGTCACTCTCACCTGGGACACGGTGGGGGACACACGTGAGTGACAGGGAATGCACCTGTCTGAGCAGCTCCGGCTGTCCGTGCTGGGCATCCCTGGAATTCCCACACGGCCTCCTTGTCATCCTGTGTGGAGCTCCAAGCTGGCTGCTTGCCCAGCGACCAGAACACAAACCTATGAGCACTTTCTGACCTCAAGTTCAGGGTGTGAGGTTGTTGCCCTTTTCTACAACCCCCAAAGGGTGCCTGACTCCCGTACCTTCAGAGCAACAAGTGCTCAGCGAAGATGGGGGCATGCTGCAATGCCTGCTGATGTACTATCTCAAGGTTCACTTCCCTCCCACATTTTCCCACAAGGGAAAACCAAGGCTTGCTGTGCTGGTGGCCTAGCAGGTGCAACTGGCTGCCTCTGAGGAGGACAGCACCTTGAGGATGCTCTGGAAGCTGCTTTGGGTGAGATCTGAGCAGGAAGCAGGCAGCAGGGAGCCTAGGGATGAACATGCCCTCTGAATGTGAAGCCCAATTCTTCCCACTTACGGCCTTCCAGGGTCATCTCATTGGCCAGCTGGTGGTGAGCCCAGCTAAATGCCAACTGTGTCACAGCCCTGCTCTTGATGTGGGCATGAGGATGCGCACACACCAGCCCATGCCGCTTCCCTATGTCCTGCCCTCATGAAGAGTCCAAGGGCAAGATAGAGTTTACTTCTGTAACCCTAGGCAGCTTGACGGACCCCTGGCTTCTGGAAGTTTTCTATGCAGGGTTAGATAAGAAGTGCATGACTCAAGTCAAAATCCCCAATGGGATTGTTCTAAATGTGAAAAGCGGTGTTGATTCTGGCAGGTGGACTCTAGCTCCTACGTGTTGGAGTGGGGGCTGTGGGGAATGGCGGCAGAGCTCAGGCATGCAGGGGGCTAGGCAGTACTGGCTCTTCGAAAAGCAACCTCATGATCTGTGTGCAAGCAGGCGAGAAATGCCATGTGGTCCCTAAGCACCTGTCCCCATCCAGGTGCACATTGTTTCTGAGGGTCCCACCAGCCTCTGCTACCTCTGCAGACACACAGGCAGGAGCAGAGTGCCACTTTGTGGGGAGCGGCGGGGGCCATTCTGAGGTTCCCCAGCTGATGGGTGGGAGGGGCCTGCAGACACTCACAGGAGGCTCTCTCTCCATTGTTCCGGGTGTTAATGTCGCCTTTGCTCTGGCGCCCTTTAGTTCCTGTCACGTCCTCCATGCGGTAAATTTCAGACACGCAGAGTTTGGGATTGAAGGCGAAGTACATCTTCCCAGTTTTGATGGTCAGGTTGCGGTGTTCCCAGTCCCAGAGCTGCTGTAGGTTCTGGTTGTCCAGGACATAGAAGGAGTAGTTTCTAGAAGCACAGAACCTGCCGTTAGCACACCTGTCCTTGAACAAGGTCCGCCCCAGCCAGCCAGTCAGCTGGCCAGTGGGTGCTAGCAGTGTGGCCCTCCTGGTCCCAGGACTCCATTGAGACATTTCTTCTGCCAGTAGAGAGGACTGAGTTCTAACAGGCTGGTAACAGGAGTGGTCACTGTTGGCACCAGTGATGGTGTGAGTCCAGGACATCACATGGAGATGGACCAGGGGGTGACTGCCTGACCTCTCCACTACCAACCACTGATGTCTCCTGCTCAGAGGGCACTCCTTGGGTGGCTCCCTACAAATACCTTGGTTATTGGCTCAGAAATGGGTACATACATAGCTTGAAAGCAAACCATGTGGGAGTAATCACGGTCGGCCACTCAACCAGAGTGGCTAACAGTCTGCTGAAGTGCTTCCCATTGACCCTGGGAGACAAGTGCTGGGAGGACCGCCCCTGGCCTTCACCCCACCCCACCCCAGGTTCACCTCTGGCCCTGAGAGGCCCCTACTTCAGTACCCGGAGAAAGTGTCTGGGATGGGGACTGGACCCTGCCAGGTGTCCCTGAGCATCACGTGGAGCCTGCACCAAGCTGCAGCGGCTCTAAGGAGGTGAAGACTTTGTGATTTTCACCTGTCCTGGGGGAAGTCAGTGCCACTGGGCCCAGGCCCACACCTGGGGAACTGCTGACCTAAGACAGGCGGAGCTCCCATGAGGTATGAGAAGCCCCATGCAACCGGGTCCAGTGTGGCACCTGCCCCAGGCAGGGTACACACCAAGCAGCAGGTCCACACTATCCAGCGAGGGGAGATGCAGGGACAGCGTATAGGGAAGTCATCCCCAGCTGTCCCTGGCATCAGGAGAAACCCGCCACCAGGGAGCTGAGACAGGACTGTGCACAGCTCAGAGAGAGATCTCTTCCTGTTCTCCAGCCCCAGCTTCCTGCCGGGTCTCATTCAGAGCTTGGCAACCCAGGCAACACACGGGTACACCCCACACACGATGGCAAGAAGAAAGCAGTGGTGCCCTCTCTTGGCAGACAAACCAGGACCAAGCAGACGTCCAAGCCACCCCACCCCGGGCAGAGGCTGCACCTGCCAGGCAGCTCTCTACACCTGGTGAGTGTCTTCATTACACCTGTGCTGGAATCTCACTCCTCAGGCTGAGCCCTATGTGGGGGAAAGTGCATGATACTCTGTCCAAGCAACTGACCAGGGATGCGGGCCACGAGGGGGTTGGACACAGTGCCCCAGAACCTGAGATTGAAGGGATGAGCCACATGGGCAGTGGCAGGACCAGCAGCACTGTTAGTGGCTCAGCACGAGGGGTGCGGCTGGGTGAGGTCTGGGCTCCCTGTCACTCTTCAGAGCCCACAATCCTCAGGCCCAAGGGTTGAAGCCCAAGCCCTTCCCAGCTCGGGACCCTGCTGTGGGAATCTGGATCCCTTGGGTGTTCCCAAGGCCACACCACTGAAAGCCATCAGGCACCTCACAAGCCCACTCCGAGGCCTCTGAGCACTTTCCCAGCCACCAAATCAGCAGCACAAACAGCAGCCACGCGTCCTGGAACTCCATGAACATCTCCCATTAGGGTGGCAGGGGTACAAGGTCTTAGATAGCCATCTTGCACTGCTTTCCCAGGTGCATTAGCAGGAAGCTGGATTGGAAGCCAGGAGCCAGAACTGGATCTGGAACTCGGAGATGGGATGCCCGTGTCACAGCTACTGGCTTAATGCACTGTGCTGTGACGCCAGCTCTGAGGTCACTTCATAACTCAGCACACTAGCAGGGAATGGAACCACACAGAAAACACCTTCTGAACAAAAACCAATCTTCTGACCATGGGAGGAAGTGTGAATTATAGCTCAGAAATTTGACAAATGAATGGCAGGCATGCTGAAAGTCTGTGTATTGGATTAACCTCTTTGAGTAAAGAGATGATGATTTTTTTTTTCAGTAAACACAAAAATTTATTACAACATTGAGAATTCAGGGTAGGGAGGGAAGGGAGCCAGGATACTAATATCAATCAAGGCTAGGCATTATAGCTACGAGAAATACAAATAAAACCCTCATCAAAATTATCATCCACTCATTCATCAACGCTGCTCCTGTGCTCCGAGCCCGGGCCACACCCACGATCAGGTGAGAACTGAGAGGGGGGAAAGGCAGTGCCCTGTCTCTACTTCTTCAGAACACACATGCGCCAAAGGAACTGGCTACCGAAGGACACAATCAGTGAGTGTGGTTTCTGTCTTGAGATCTCTGCCCCAGAATTTATTTTTGTTTAAATGAAGCTGCGTGCTGGTTTTCCTCCAGCAGTTGCAGGCTCTGCACTGCCAGGTCTCACTCATGGTGCAGTTCTGGGTCTCGGCTGGTGTCGCAAACGTGTTCACATACTTGGGGAGGTCTCACCTGTCAAGCTGCAGACAAGTTGGGTGGCCGGAGCGGTTACTCAGCTCAGCAAAGACACCTGCGTTTTCTCAGCCCTGTTGTCCCTGACATCTAACAGTGAGCTGGGGTATTTGTGTGGCCACCACCTCACGTCTATTGCGCCTCCAAGTGGCGGGTTCCATGCCCTCACTGTGGCAAGAAGGGTGGTAGCAAGGTGGGCACAGCACCAGAGAAGGCAGCCCTAGGCACAAAGTCCAGCACATGGCACCTGGGAGCCACTGCTGAGTGAACAACCACTCTGGGCAAAGCACCTGCTCAGCCTCTGCCAGGCTGCAGTGTCTGAGCTGTGGGCAGTAAGTCCTCCCTGTCCTCCTGGCCCCAAGGCCAGTGGGCAGCATCGCTTAGCTACATATGAAAGGACGCTGTGAGCTTTGAACCACCTCACAAAGCAGTGGGATCACCCCTTCTGCTCTCTGAAGTGGAACAAAGTCACAGGAACAGGGCAGTCCTGCGCCTTGACAAACGGGACCCAGCCTGAGGTCTCCAGTCTACAGAGGTGAGGACAGTCCCTCCTTTCTGGCCGTTGCTGATATACTGGGGGAAAATTCTATATCTATCTGCAAATCTCAACCAATCTCAAGCTCTGTTCTCGGAGGAGAAGCCACCCTTCCTCTGCCTCTGGAGTCTCAGCAGCAGAGCATGGCCCACGAACCTGGTAGGCAGCTGCTCCTTCCAACTCACCTTCAAGTGGGCTGCTGAACCCATACTCAGTCCCCTCTAGGCCTGCATTTACGCCGACCGCTAGGGCAGGACCCCATGGGCATAGGTGGAACTGGGCACTCCACATGTTCAAACTCCTCGTGTGTGTGTTTTCCTCCAGATATTCTTACTGATATCAAATCTACCTGCCCCAAATTCACCCATCCTGTGCACTGAGCATTGGGTACCAGGAAGCAGTCCCCCAGCTCCGTCTCTGCCCCTCCCCTGATGCCACCTGGCCCTTCCACTGCTCCCTCCAGCCGTCACTGCTCTGCCTTCTGACTGCATGGTTTCATGGTTGGTTTGCACAGGAATCGCAGGTTAGCAGGTTTAGGCAATGCGAAGCCCTGTGCTATGCCCTTCATCTACAGGGACACTCCTGTGACATGTGTCACAATTCAGATTGTCAGTGGTGCCCCACTGCTCTATTCCTCTGAAGGACACTGAACAGTTTCCAGTGATTTTTTTTTTTTGCTGGGGGAGGGGACTATTATAAACCATGGTGCTGTGGGCACTCCTTGCAAGCTTTCCAAGGGCACGTTACCATTCCTCCTGGGTCACATGGCTGAGTGTGTGTTTCTAGAAGTCCTGGGAAGGGATATAGAGTAGCCACACGGCAGCCTGATCCTGGAGCAGAAGGTAGATGCTCTGAAGCCCGGATAAGTTTGCCCTACGCTCCCCTTCCCTTACTCAGGCATAAAAACAAACTATTGCACAAAACTCTGATACAGGTGAATTACAAATTCTACTTCCTTCATCACTAGTGGAAACCCCTTAATTTTCTCAGTGTCAAAGATTGTTATTCTGGAGTGGATGATGCATCAAGGACGGAGAATCCCTCTGGACAAAGCCAGGACAATGTGATGGCACCTGGGCCAGTGCCTCAGTGATCTTGCTCTCGGCCAGCACATATACCTGCCTCCATCCCGGTCCTAGTCTAGCAGCCAGGTTAGAAAACTGGCATGCAGTGAGTGGCAGAGGGCAAACAGGCTTGGGGTACAAAGGGCTCTGGCACGGGTCCCATGTCAACCCCTGCGTGTCCTGTCCCTGGACTGATCAGCAAGGGTGTCAGGGACCTACAGGAGACCCAGGCTATTACAGCTGCAGGTTCTCTGCCTGGCTTGTCCTCCTTCTACCACAGCAAAAGGATGCAGACCTTCATCCTATTCTTATTCATACTCTCATGAGCTCGAAGATGGCTACAGCAAACACAGTATTCTAAGACAGCAGTGTGACCAGAAAACCTTCAGAAAAAAACAAAATGTGTTGGGGACGTGTACATGATAAAAAGAGATAAGAGGAGAACACAGGAGCTCCCAATCCTTGCTGCGCATGGAAACTGCCCAGCACGGATACCAAAATCCCAACCTCAAATATTCTCTCTGTACGACTTCAACGACAGGACACTGTGGTGTGGCCAGCAAGGCAGCAGTGTGTAGTGCCGGCATCCACTAACGAGCCAACTCCCTGCTAACGCGCCTGCGAAAGCAGCAGAGGATGCAAGTTTTGGGTCCCTGTCACCATGTGGGAGACCTGGATGGGGTTTAGGGTCTTGGTTTCAGTCTGACCCAGCTCCAGTTGCGGGGACCATTTGGGGAGTGAAGCAGGTTAGATCACTCTGTTTCTCTCCCTTTCTAACTCTGCCTTAACTAAACCAAGGAAGTGCCCCCAGCACGAGGGTCTGCAGTGCATCAGGATAACCCCACCCGCCCTCCATGCCCAGCCCGATAGATCCCAGGAGGTTCAGAACAGAGAGACACACTATGCCTCTGCTCAACATAATACTTACAGCTAACACAGTGAAAATCATTCCTAATAAAAATTAAATTCTCTTAGCTTCAACATCTGTGTCTGTTGTTGAAACAGCCCAGGAGAAGAAAAACACAAGAGTTCTATCCTTAAGCAGCAGGAAAACTGGTCAGTTGTCAATCAAATATAAAACTGCTTACTCACACTAGGGATTGCAGAAACACAAACCTACTTGGAGAGAATAGCTAAGGGACGGCTATAGTGGCACAGTGTGCCGCGCTCGCGTACGAGCACTGATTTGAGCTCTGGCGCTTCTACTTGCACTCCAGCTTCCAGCTAATGTGCTGTGAAGATAGCAGGTAACGGTCCCACTCACACAGGAGACCCAAATGGAGTTCCAAGTTCCTGGCTTCGACCAGGCTCAGGCCCTGCTGCTGTGGTCTTTTGGGGAATGAACCAGCAGATGGAAATTCTCTCGCTACACCTTCCAAATAAATTCATCTTTTAAAAAGAACCATAATTGACCTTTTAATATTGAATACAACACCTAAATTGGTGAGTGGCAGGCATTCCACTAAGGACCAAACGTCAGTCTATAGGCTCAGCATTCCTGGTGGGGACCATACACTCTTGAGAACTGTCCTGGCACTTCAGTTATATTGGATGATGGAATTCCAAGAATTCAGGGCGGATCAAGAGTCAGTGTGAGAAAACAGGGAGGATGGAAAGCAGCCCTTGTGTGGTAACTTGATCCGGTGGGGGCAGATAACCAGCCAGCATGGCCTTTCCCACGGTCTTCCCACCTCTTTGTTTCTTGAATCATTTTCTCAAATCTTTTTTAGAAGGATTCATGCCTCCTTTCATTTCTAAATCTCCATGTCATGCAGGGCAAGAGCTGTCTCGAACAGAAGAGTGTGAAGAGGCAGGGCACATGGGAAGGGGTATATCCTAGGCCAAACCCGCCCAGACATGGTCCACACAGCCAGCACCAGCTCTGATCCTTCTACCAACAGCCCACAGTCCCCTCCAAAATCCCAGTCACCAGCTACACTCCTATTTATTAACAAAATTCCCATCAGCAACACAAATCCTATAAACTGGTCAGTAAGAAGCAAGTTGTGAGTCAGGGCAGCCCAGCCAAGCGGCAGCCTGTTCCCGTCCCATTGCCCAGGAGGGCCAGCCCTCGATGGGTTAGTCTGCTAGCAGGAGAAATGACCTGTCTGCACTCCTTCGAGTCTTTCAAGTTCCAGTTATTTTCAGAAATGCAACTTTCTGAAAGTAGAGACCAGCATCCTGCAGCATGACAAGGGTCACGCTGTGTTACCGACCAGCAGCGACACTACCTACGAGGCACACTCTTGAGGGTCTGGGACAAGCCGGAACCGCAACCGGACCCCTTTATTGCCAAAAGCGGCTGCTTTTATACCCCTTCTCCGCTGCTTTTCTGCTTTTCCCCTCGTTCTTCTCCCGTAGGCCTTATCTTTTTCTCCCTTTTATAACCCTCTCTCCTCTGCCTTTTTCCCCGTCCTTCTCCCCATAGGTCTTACTGCTTTTGTATCCCTCTCTGCAGCTCTTTTCCCTGAAGGTCTTAGCTTTTCTCCCCATAGGCCTTATTACCCCACTCTGTACCCCACTCTGCTGCCCTCTCTTCTTCCGGTCCATCTTATTGCTTTTAGCGGCTGCTTTTATACCATTCTCCACCAATCACTTCTCCCCTTGGGTCCACTCAGTGCTACCTGATAGGCCAGTAGCAATGACATAATTGCAGCGAGGGCATCAGCCTATCCCTGTGACTTCCTGTTTATCTGCTGGAGAGACCAACCCCGCCTCCTGGCCCTGGGCCAGCCGCCATCCTGCGAAGGCCTTTCCTATTCCTGGGAGCGGCTTCGGCTCCCCCCTCCCCACCAACACTGGTGGAGGAGGAGGTCAGGGAGGCACATGTGGCGACCTCTTCCTGTCTCATTACCAAGTAGGGCCATCCCTTGGTGGGTTAGTCTGCTAGCAGGAGCTGCTACCTAGCACAGGACAGTGTCGCACACTTACCCTTCCAGCTGCTCCTCTCCGAGAATCAGGCGGAGATTCTTCAGGAAGGACAAGGAGACCAAGGCGTGCGAGTGGCTTATCTTCACATAGCCCGTAACCACCTCGATGAGCCCCATGAAGCTCTCCAGCTCTGAGGCAATGTTATCTAAGGGGAGAGAATAATTCACTGAGGGCTCACTTCCAGCTGGGGTGACCAACTTGGCTTCTCACCAACATGGGGGGCTCCTGGCACAGGACCAAACAGCCCCTTGTCAAAATCCTGTACTTCCCTTTCCTCCTCTTGACTTTTCACACCCGCCCACAAGACAAGGCAGGGGCTGTGCGCCCCCATTGATGAGCGCACTACAGAATCATGACTACTGCACTGCCAATTAGCTGATACAGCCAGGCGATGTCTTCTGCCAGGCTCTGTGCACAGGGCCAGGCCTGGGGCAGCAGCTTCTCGGACTCATTGGGAGCTGCCTGCTCTGCACTCCCAGTTCCTAAGACACACAGCACTAACTCTACAGATCCCAGCTCATGGAGAAGCTGGGAAGTATCCCCAAATGACGCCAAGGGTGGATATCAGCAGGTGAGTGCTCAGCATCCACTTCTCAGCTTTCCATAATGCCTGGGGATTCATTTCCCAACGAGCAGAAATAGCTGAAGAAACAACACACTGCAGAAACGGTGGATTTCCTGTCCTTTTTTTTCCCCCCACGCTCCTGTCTCTCCTAAAAACAAACAACTTGAGTTTAACATAGACCAAAATTATAGTACAGATGCTAAAGAATTCAGAACGCTGTAACAAACGGGATTTCACTGTGTGTGCCTCAGGAAGATTTACTGACTAAGAGATCCTAGTTTGCTTTGAATGGACAAAAATAAAACAAGGGCAGCCTCTTGGGGGCTGGGAAAGAACCCCTCAAAATTTCACACCTGCTTTCATTGCTTTCCATGGGAAATTAAATGAAAATCCAAGCTGGAAAGATGAGTTTGCTCACAGGTATGTTTCAAAGAAGAAATGGTGAATTTAAACGCAGAGCACAAGGCTTGGCTCCTGCTCAAGGCAGGCAGCGTCCATCTTGTGAGATGCTCCGTCACTTCCAGCCCAACCATTCTTCCCTGGGACTTAAACAGGAGGCTATAGCGCACAGGTGAGTAAGTACCAACTCCTATTGTGGTGAGACTTCTCCATGGATCGAATTCTCTAAGGGTTCGTCCTCAACAGCAGGTTAAACAGAGGCTTACACTCTTAGAAACTGAGTTTTGGGGATGAGTACAGTAATAAATGTGACAAGTCAAAGAATAAATACATTATGCTCTGGTGCCCCCTCCAGACTGAAAAAGAACCTAAGAAAAGATGTGAGAAGCCAGACATTCCTTTCCCAGACCTGGTCTCCTCATTGTTCTTATCCTTCCTTATAAAACAATCGGGATCTCAACCATGCAGCCCCAGTCCAAGTGACACCACTGAGAGAGGCCCTTGTGGGTTAAAGACAGGCCCTATTAGCGGAGCTGCTGTGCACCAGCGCCACCTTCTGCACACGAGGGACGAGAGCCAAGTGTCACAACAACATGTGGCTGCACCTTCTAGGCTCTTACGAGTACACTGGGAGAGCTACCAACTCCTTATGAAACTTTAATGTGCCATCATGAACCACTTCCCTTTTGCTCAGGCCCCTTGGTGTATCCAATAAGCCACACTCAGGGCAGCAGGTCTGGAGGCCGCTGCAGGTGCAGAGGCCCCGCCCTGAGCCGTCTGCCTCTCACAGGGCTCCTGGCTGAGCCTGAGCTGTGCGTGATGGGACTGACAGAAAGGCGACCCTCCTCATAGGGAGCAGCTTTTGTCTCTGACGGGGACTCAGAGGAGAGGAGCTGGGCAGGGAGCGTTCACACCATGTTGTGTCATATCTTGACGCCAGGAGAGGGCAGGGAAAGCATTTGTGGAAGAAGGCCCACAGAGCCGGCCATGCCTCTGCGGAGGGGGATACTTACTGCCTCGTCGGATATTAATGAGCAAATTGCCCTTGAAGATGGTGCAGCCTTGGAGCATTTGAGCAGAATTTACAGAATCAATGGTCTTTGTTTTCTTGTCTTCCTCACAGACCTTGGGGCAAGGACCTTCGCAAGGGACGCAGAACATGCTGTGGAAGACGAACACACATGTACAGAAAGAACATAGAGTTGAGTCTCCTTGCGTTGAAACAGCCCTAACTGCTGCTCAGTGCTCAGGCATTATTCTAGCACACACTACAGGAAGCAACTGTTGGAAGTGTAGAGTGATGGCCCGGTTTCTCAGCCCAAGCACACGTTCCAACTGCAGCCAAATGGAGATGAGCGCCTACGAAGGGAGAGCACGCTGCTTGTCTCCAGACAAAATGCTGCTCAATCCTGGGAGCATGTGTGCAGCGCGGGCTGTCGACTGGTGGGCCAGCTGGCCCCATGTGGGAGGAAGGGAGCTCTGAGGGCCCTAGAGGACAAGGTTGCCCTTGAAGGGCCTGGCCTGCACCTGTACCCCGCTTCTCCCTGCAGCAGGAGCCGGGGGTGGCCCCAGGGACTGCAGCGCCTCTGCCGCTCTCAGGGTGCCGGCCCCCGCGGCCAGAGCTGCCGGCAGAGCCCACCGAGGATCCCAAAAGGCACACGGCACAGCTCTGCTCCTGCACAGGCACAGCTGAGGCTGCTTCCTGACAGTGCTCTGCAGAAACATGTAAATTCATCCAAATGTTTCTGCCACATATGCAATAAAAGCAAGGCATTTCTGTAACTCTGGGTGGAGCCCCCACTTCACACGTTACCCCGAACCTGACACGGAGCAGCGGGAGTTGGGCAGTTCCTCTCCTGCCTGCATACCAACCTTTGGGATCCAAAGCTATGTATACAACCAGGATCAGAAGGCAGGATCGATTCTAAACAAGATGGACCCCTGCGCCCAGCACCTGCCTCTGTCATTTCTAAGTGGCCCAGAAATTGTTCTCTCCCATGGCCTCCGTGTCTAGAACCCTGTCTGAGACACTGCAGGTTCCCTGAAAGCTGCAGGCAGCACAGAGACCTCACATGCCCTTCACCTAATTTCCTCCCTCAGCCACTGCATCTAACATGGTGATCCTGCAATATGAAAACCAGGAAATGAACACGGCCACAAGCTGTGTGGAGTGCTGCGCTCCTGTGCCAGTGTGCAGATCTGTACAATCCCCACGGAGAAAGATCAGCTCGTGCCACCCACCCAGGCACCATCACCCTCGCCCCCAATATGTCCAACGCCTGGCAACCGCTCAACTGCTCTCCACGTCTATCATTCTGTCATTTCGAGAATGTTACATAAAGGGAATTAGACAGTATGTGGCCTTTAGCGATTGGCTTTTTTTCTTTTCACACAACAAAATGTCCTTGAGACCCATCCAAGTTGTGTGTTCAATGGTCTGTTCCTTTTGACTGCTGAGCAGTAGTTCTCAGTGTGGGCACAGCCCAGCTTGCTTAGCCACTCACCTACCACATAACAGACTGTGGCATTGCAAACATGTATCTGACTGTGAGCTAACGTGCAATGCTTTCATGTCTCTGGGACAAACGTGCAGGGCTGTAGTCGCTGCATTGTAAGGTAAGTGCATGGTTAGTTTCTCTCCGTCTTTTAACCAAAGAGGAATTCCCGAGACATACACACACTTTGCTAAAATGTCTAGGAAGGTTTTTAAACCAGGGTTTTTCCAGGGGAAGTGTTCTAATTGCACGGTATTCATGTAAGTATTCTCAAATCCATTCTGGTAGCAATAGGGTATTATGATTATTAAGCACATATATTTTAAAGTAAGAGTTTTAAACAGACTTTAAAGGCTGGGAGCAGGGAGTTACTATCTCTTGATGGGAGTTTTTTAAATTTCAAAATGCAAAGGGCAGATCATAAAGATGGGTCAGGGGAATGGGGCTCAGCGCTTCGTGGGCCTCCACCTTGGCTGCCCGCAGGGCTGTCTCCCGACAGTGCAAAAAAGTGCACCCGCAGGCAGGCCCAGGTGCTCCCAGACCTGCTGCCCCGCCCCAGCTCCAGAACCAAAGGGACCCCTGCCTTGAGCCTCCCCAGGAAGCCAGGCTGCAGCTCCAGGCTCCAGGCGGGCACCAGTAAAGCCCTCCATGGCCAAAGGCTGCCAGCACACTGAGAACGTGTTTTGGGGTGGAATCTGTGTACTTTATGGCTCATTACCATTCTTGGCCCCATTTATCATCTCAAAGTCTTTACTGCTTCCTGTTTACTGTGATAGGGTTCACAGAAATTAGGACCAGCAGAAAAAGCTGCTCCACATGAAATGCTCCGAGAGAAAACAAATTTTATCTTGAATCTGGAAGTGAGCTGACAATGGGAGCAACTTCTCCAAACACCACCGGGCGGTCAACCCCTCCTCGATGAAGACTTGCTCTGTGTGGTTCCCAGAAATGGGCTGCAGCAAAAACGGTCCTGCAAAGTGGAGCTCACCTCTCCGGGACTATTTTGTATTCACAGAACAGATTTACTCTGAAAACCCCAGAATTGGAAAACCTCCCTGCTGTGCTCACCACGATTGCAGTGCTTGGTCTGGGACAGCCCAACTCATTCCCTGAAAGTTCTGAGTCTCCCAAGTTTCCACAGTGAGGGTCACTTGACTTTGTAACAATGCTAGCACCTCTTTGCAAAAGCCTGTGGCAGCGGCAGGTCCCTACCAGCCTCACGGGCACACGCAGGCAGCAGGGCTTGTTCTAAGGAACTCCTTCTTAGGTGCAGGCCCATAGTCACCAGGGTGAACGCTGGGGTGAAGGGTAACAGCGAAGGTGGGGGTACTGAAAGAGGGGCTCCTATCTGTAAGTTGGTGTGTGTGCACTACAACATCTGGATTAGACTCAGCCTTGCAGCCTGCACCGAAAGACAGCCAGGCCACATGCCAGCATGCCAGCCAGGCCTCATCGCTTCCCCCTTGCCCTCTCAAAGCCTGCACTAGGGGGATGTGGTACAGTTGCCGGGTTGGGCAATCTCCACCTTCAACCCCAGCTCCTGGAGAGCAGCTCAGCATGCACACAGGGAACCAGCCAAGAGCTAAATTGCAAGTTGGGGAAAACACAGCCACTCCCAGGCTACTCCAGGCCTCTCCGATGGTCCCACAGATGGGCCTGTGGGAGGGGGGTTCCCCTTTGTGCCACCAGCACTGACCTCTGGCTGCCGTTGCGGATGAACCCCGAGGGGCACTCCTGCATGCACTCGCCGTCATGGATGACGAAGCCCTCGCCTTCGTCGACGCTGAGGATGTTGGCGCAGAAGTCGCGGTCCACGCAGCGCCAGCCCTCAAATCGGTAGGTGTTGGGCGGGCAGCTTGTCACACAGGTGCCATCATGATAGTAGTGGAGGCAGGCGACGCAGGCAGTGTTGTCATCGGGTGCATAGCAGCTGCCCAGGCACTCAGGGTGGCAGCATTCGTTGTTGTCCGAGCAGGCTCGCTTCCCGCACGAGCTTGGGCACACTGTGAGGACAAAGGGGAGAGCGCCATAAGAAAGGGTGGTGTTCCCTGTGTCCTCCTGCAGGCCTGGCCGCATGCTGCGGGTCACTGGATGGCTCATCAAGGAATCAGAATACCATGCAACTAGTCCACGTGGTGCCCACAGAGATGACCACTGCCCACTCACTCCTCATTAGACAGGCAGAGCGCCTAGCCACTCAGGGGGTTCCTAGCCTGGTCAAGTCCTGGGCTTCTGTAACCCTGACCACTCCCATTCTCTGAAAGGCGGAGTGACCATATCCAGCTAGAAGGCTGCCCTAGCCTGTCTACCGGCACTTCAGCAAGCACTGTGGCTAGACCAACCTGTACTCCAAGTAAGTTTCTTACGGAAACGCCCTTCAAAGCCTCACTGTGCAGAAACGCTCGATGATCTTGAAACCAATTAGACAACGATGGCAAGATGACATTGTCCAGAGTTACAAAGGCATACCCTGACCCCACAAAGACCACACCTTTAGATCGACCAGAAGCCGCCACATCTCATCGAATGCAGGGCTATGGGCATGCTGAGTACCAGGGGCAGAAGGATGACCGAAACCACTTCCACAGAGCCCTTCCACACTGCAGCTAACTGAAAACAGCGCCAGGACCCACAGATTCACAATTTACATCCCAAACAGATGAGCTGGCGTTTATTTCCATAACGATGCCGCAACCATCACACTCCATCGGCTGTTAGCCTCACTCGTAAATAAAATATAAATCAACAAAACATGAAATCTGGTTTGCATTATAGATGTCCTACTTTTTCCCTTGAGTTGCAAAACAATACAAAATCATTTAAATGTGTATATTTTCTATTCTGGCATGCAATATTGAGAAGATTCTATTATTTGTGTTTTCTCATAATAAAAGTGCATGTTTGGGACAAAAAAACAGATAAGAAAGGAGAATACAAGGAACCCAGATGCCCACCTTCCCACAAAAGGCCCTTTAGCCCACCGCCCAGCCCCCAAAACACACCCCAGGCCCTTATTCATGTGCAAGGCCCTTTAAATATAAACAACTTGTAAAAAGGACCAAGCTCTTCTGAAAGCATTTCCTCATTCCACCAGCAATGAGCAGCAGCCCTGCACCCCAGGCAGGACAGGGCATCTGTCACCTGCTGTCCCAGGCTCCTACTGCTCCACAGTTTCCTGACCCTCAACTTTGTGCTGTTACGATGGGAGCATCCCTCACGTTCCATCAGGATCCACCCTCACAAATGATCCTGCTGAGACAAGCCGTCCCCTGGAAGGACTGTAGCCATCGACACACTGACTAGCAGCTGCAAACAGGTATCAGAGCGTGGCCATTCACACCCACAGCATCAGCTCCGAGGGAAACAGGCCAATACTCACGATACTGTGACGCGTAAACAGATTTTTTTTTGCAGTATTCTCCTTTCAAGTAATTCTTTGGCAGAAATGATAGCTTGCCTTCCACTATGTATTGTCCTTCTCCTTTCTGGTAATTTTTAGCTGGGCATGTTGAAAGTTTGCCAGATAAGATACTACCATACTGGATCACAAGGTGATCCACTAGGAAATGCTGTAGCAAGAAAAAATGACCTTGGCCCCAGGAGTATGGAGCCACCCAGGGAACCCTGGACTGCTTCCCCTTGGCCCCAGGAGTATGGAGCCACCCAGGGAACCCTGGACTGCTTCCCCTTGGCCCCAGGAGTATGGAGCCGCCACGGGAACCCTGGACTGCTTCCCCTTGGCCCCAGGAGTATGGAGCCACCCAGGGAACCCTGGACTGCTTCTCCTTGGCCCCAGGAGTATGGAGCCGCCACGGGAACCCTGGACTGCTTCTCCTTGGCCCCAGGAGTATGGAGCTGCCACGGGAACCCTGGACTGCTTCCCCTTGGCCCCAGGAGTATGGAGCCGCCACGGGAACCCTGGACTGCTTCCCCCCGGATCGCATGGGAGACGGCACTGTAAGACTGCCATTTACACAGGGGACCGAACTAAGCCCAGCTGGAACACACCTTGAGAGCGAGCAGCAATGAATTCTTTCTCAGTGATCTGCCTGTTTCCCAGCCCTAACTTACCCAGCATGTGATGAGCAGGTGACTCTCCAGTCACACCGCAGCAGCTGATGTGCAGTTGCCACAAAAGTGTCTGGATGCACAGACATCTACCAAGGCGAATATTCTAAAGAGAATCATACCAACCTGAATTTACAGGCTTCACATATTTGCAGAGGCTGCACATCCATATACTCTTATCATCAAGTGTCCTTCTCAAATAACCAAACTGATTCAGTAATTACTTAATTTCAAATGCATCCACTTTAAGGTGAAAAAACTAAAGCGCCAGCCCTCAAATCAGTAGGTGTAGGGCGGGCAGCTTTTCACACAGTGCCATCATGATAGTAGTGGAGGCAGGCCACGCAGGCAGTGTTGTCATAGGGTGCATAGCTGAATTCAGAGCTTAGTCTATCTATTCTCCATGTATCTGTCCCTGCAGCAGGTGTAGACGGAGTGTGCTGCACCTGTGTGCCAGGCACACGCAGGTCTGAATGGATGGTTGTCCCTGACCTTGGGGGACAGCTGATGCACCAAGTAGGAGGGGACTACGTACAGCTTCCCAGCGCTTCCCAAGACACTGGGTACCAGGGAAGGCTGCGTACAGGTGACGGGTTGGAGATGAAGGCAGAAGAGGAAGCAACAAGTAAAAACAACCTCACAGGTGGAGCCCACATACATGTACAGCCGGGCCCATGCAGTGCAGGAAACAGAGATGGCGCGGGATGGGGCAGAGGAGCCAGGGTCCCCCTTGCTGCATCACACGGTGGTGCAGGATGTATCAGTGGGGGAAGTGTGTGATTATGCATCCTGGAGCGGCCCCTGAGGGCTGCTGGAAATGCTGTCTCATCTCAATGTATATAAATATTATTAGTATTCAGGACTGTTAAGAGATTTCTTGAAAAGCCCCGGACAGTGTGTCTCGTCAGAGATGGGTGGCTGCCCCACTTGGGTGCCAAAATTTAACATTGAGGGCAGTCACCATATTCCAAACAACAGTGCCACAGCAGGGGGAGCAAGGGAACTCCTGACCCTGCACGTAGTAGTTAGGCGCACATGGAGCCCTTCAACAGCGACAGTATGACGAGGAAACTGGAGGCTGCTGAGAAGGAACAGACAACGCAGGGAAAAGCAAATTGATTTTGCCCAGGAGATGTTTCTAGTCCTTGATATTCTGAGAGTGGCCAACAATAAAAATAAAAATGACTGTCTCAATTGCTGGAAAAGCAAACAACATGACCCATACTGATCACAAAAAGGACTGGCTTGCGGTCACAGTCACATCAAAATGAGGCACTGCATTTAAAAGCTCATTCTCTTCATTCTGGGGGACAAGCAAAAAAAATCCCATCCACCATTCTTTACTCCTTCTCGCCCCCCAAGTCCTTGTATTTATCATTCTCTTTTTCCTTAATTGCTTTTGTTCTTGCCAGTAAACTCTTAAACAATCTTCAGCTGCAGGAAATCGCATCCTAACAGTGTGTGATACTAAGTCTAAGAGTCCACAAGAAATGCAGAAAAGGGCCCTTGGCCACAGAACTTCTCACACTGCAAACAGTTGCATCCCAAATCATTTCTGAAGGATGGATGTAGCTCCCGCATGATCTCAATCACAACGCTGGGGGCACATGCGGGACATCTTAGCTATTTTCAGGTTGCACTGAAAAGCACTGCAGATCTGTGTTCCAGAGAAAAAGCTAAGGCCTCTCCTGATAGGCTGTACCCTTAGGCATCCAGACACACAGCCACCATCGCCAGGAAATGGATTTTGGCCTCTAGAGGGCACCAGGGAGACACGGATCTCATGCCTCTCTGCCTTGCAAGGAGATAACTGACTCCATTAGACCACAGGGAGGGGTGACAAGGAAGGGGAAAGGAGGGAGGGAGATGCAGGGGGTTCCAGCCTTGCCATCTGATCCACAGGGCCCACCCCTTCTCCCCAGCGCCAGGACCCTGGCATTCTGGGAAGAGGCACCTGCTGCCCTTACAGCTAGGCCCTAGCCTTCCTGGGGCTCATACCGAGAAGGGCAAGCAAATGGCCGGTCAGGGCTGCTGGGGGAGTGGGGGGGAGAGGGACTTCCAGGCCAGGCCAGAGCTTGACAAGTGAGTAAGAGCTAGCAGGTGCCCGGGCCGGGGCTGACTCACCAGGGTAGAGTAGGCCCTGAGGCGGAGGTGAGGAAGGAAACTTGGCACAACTGGAAAATGAAGGCATGGGAGCTGGAGGCCAAGCCATGGGAGCAGCGGTGACCTTAAAAGCATAGGGACAATTGTCAGGGGCTGGGTGACCAGATATTCACTTCCGAAGACAACCGTTTTTCTAGCAGCAGCAATGGCCCAGAACCGTGCAAGTGGGGAAAGTGGCACGGGTGAAAGTCACATCTTGGAGAGGGCTTTATTTTTCTTCTTTGTGGAGAAGCAAAAAGGCTCTGTTCCTTTACAATGCCAGGAAGTAAACTGCATCTGTGAACTCTCCGTGCCATGTTTATATCCACCCTGACACCCTCCCCACAGAGACACAAAACACAGGTGTGTGATGATAACTCACTCAGGGTCTGTCCAAGGCTCGTTGGCATGGTACTGAGGGCCTGGGGACAAAGAACGCAAGCAAGATTGATCCTAGCTGCTTTCCCTCTGGGTCCCTAATCAACGCACACACGTGAGAGACGAGCAACACGAAGCAGCCAGTTCTCTCTCGGGCCCGCTCCTGCCACCAGTGCACCTGCTGCTGTCCCATGCAGCACAGGTGCCTCAGGGAAGCAGACCCCTGCCTTCTGGCTGGGAGCTGGAGCTTGGACAGAGAGCAAGTCCCCCTCCCCAGAAGCCAGGACTCCGTGTACAGCAGCCCAGGGGGTGTGAGAAGATGCTCTCAGCGTGGCATCCTCTCCCACACACCTCTGCCCTGCCCACGCCTATGACCCCAAGAAATTTTTGTTTGTGACCACATTCCATTCAGGTC